AAAAAGTGGTGATTTTTCTAAATGAATGGCGATGTTAGTCACACACACACACACACACACACACACACACACACACACAGAGAGAGAGAGAGAGACAGAGCAAATAGGGCGTCCGTCCGCCTTGTTCATCATCAGCATCAGCATTCAGCGCGAAAGACCCGTGTCGATTGTTATTGTTATTATTTTTACTATTATTGTTATTCATTTATCGAAATCGTCCGAGCGAATGAACGAAGGAATGCATGGACTAATCAAATGAATGGCCATACATGCAGGGCGTGTGTCCGATTGGAGGGATCGGGACTGGTTTTCATCATCTCGACCGAAGGGATTTGATGTCCTCACGCCGATCAATCCATCCATCAATCGATCATTGATGATGCCGAATCACCCCAGGGATATATCCAACCATGATCTCGTAATTTCGATTCGTATCGTCCGAGCGGAGCGCTGTAATTTCGCGGATGATTGGAGGAGCGTAGTTTTACGATTTCATTTGCCCGTTTATTGTTATGGGAAATTCAATTTTCTTCATCTCATGATTGGGTTGAACAGCGCCATCCTTGCGAGTGCCCATGTGAGTGATGCTACTAATGGAAAGCACGGCCCGGGAAAGCAAGGGTTCCCTTTCCTCCCTCGCTCCCCGGGGCGGGCTTTTCGGAAGTGGAGAGACGGCGTCGTGGACCGAGCGAGCGAGCGGGAGTAGCGTGAACGGTTCCTCTCGCCTTTAATTCTCTCCGCGCGCCGCTGGGTGGTGGTGGTGAAGATGATGATGATGATGATGATGATGATGGTGAGAGAAGGTCAATGCTTTGATTGAATGGGTTCCTCCTCCGAGATGCTGGCTCGTGTAGGGGGACGTTGGTGTGGGGGAGTGTGTGTGTGATGGAGATGGGGAAGGAGAACGGAGGAGATCCCTTCTTCATGGGATGGAGGTGAAAATGTTGGCGATGTTGCTACAAGGGGAGATTCCCGTCATTGGAGTCGTCCCTTCTGTGTTCACGGGCGGGTGGTGATGGGATGGGATGGAAAGGACCGAGAGCGAGATGATGCGATCGATTTACTCTTCCCTGCGAGAAGGCAGAGGTCCACATCACAGGGAACTGGATCTGGAGGACGATAGGTGGTTTGTTCACCGCGTCTTCCTCTATTATCACACGAGCGGTCTGAAGAGGAATGAACCATCAGGTCGTCAAGGCCTCCTCCGACCTGTCATTGCCCGGAGTCGCCTTTGGGAATTTCCCAGTCAGCCCCGTCAATCAAATTTCCATCGATTATCGTTGGCATTTCCACACTGTAGAGCATCATCTCCAGCAGGTCGTTCGAGTCTTTCGGGATCCCCTGGGGTGCTGTTCTCAGGCGAGGGTGGTCGTCCCATGCTGCATCTATTGTGAAACCGACGCTGTAGCCGCGACATCCTCCCGCGTGAAATCTAACCGAGGATTGAATGGTTTCCACCTCGAACGTGATGACAATGCGATGTCGTCAGGCGGCGCGCGTGTATGTGTATGTGTATATGCGTGCAGGTGGGTGTATGTGGATGTGTATGTGTGCAGGTGTGTGTCCATCCAGGGTCTCCTCCCGCCCAAGTTGCAAGTGCCGGGCCCTGGGGGAGAGAAAGATGGAGTTTCTACGTCATTGTTTACGCCCCATCATCATGACCACCTGCACTTACTTTGCACGTCGCGCTTGGCGACTCTACCGTGTACCATCTGATGATTGCCGCGGCATCTCTTTTTCTCATTTATTTGTTCTCTCGCGTGTGGCAAAACATACCACGGGTGCCGTGAAGGAAGAACAGTGGCGCAGGCCACTCGGCAGTAGTCGTGTTTGATCCCGAGGTCAGTTTCATCGCCTGTTTGTGACAGCGGTGGTCGTGTGGTGATGAGCTATGAATCAGCTAGTTATTATTGATATCGTGCATTTCGCTGGACGAGTTTGAACCAGCTGGGAGATTCCCGTTCCATCGACGTCACCCGAGATTTTGTCTCCCGAAAACAACCTCGCCATGATGGGAGAGTGAGTCAGTTACGTAGTGTGAGCGAGTGAGTGAATGAGTAATCGAGGGGAGGTGTCTCGCGGGAGAGAAACAGCGGCACATGAAGGATGAAACATCAGATCCATAATGATTGCTTTATCGATCCAATGTATATTATCAAATGGTGGTGATGTTTGCACCACCACGTGACCCTCATCGAGCGGCGACCGATGAAGAGAGCCCTGAAGAGGTTGTCCACGGGTGTGCCTTCGGAGAACGAAGAGTTGAGGAGGCACAAGCCTGATGAGCCACCGACGTCCTCGACTTGTCATTATTCTTCACCTGGGCAAGGAGGAGGAGGAGTTAAATCGGAGTGATAGTGACGGTAAGGGTGACCATCCTGGAGCGACCCGCTGGACTCCAGGACATGTCCAGTACAGTACTGTAGAAACCCCGACCGCTAATAATGATGTCGATGATGGTGATGACGATGATGTGGCAGAAACAAGCCACACAACTTTCCTGGCTACAGTAGAAGGTCGATCGTGGCGCAGATCTCCGTCCGCCACACGGTATTTGTGAGGCTTGCTTGGTAGGATTCCGGCTGGTGATGATGATGATGGGAAGGATGATGATGACACGCCTGCTTTTGCTCTGTCTCATCATCCCGACTGTCCACCCCTTCGGGACTTGTATGTATGTGTGTGTGTGTGTGTGTGTGTGTGTGTGTGTGTGTGACGTGGCACCACTACCTCCCATGTGTGTGTGTATGTATGTATGTACCTACCATCGAACATCTGCGGCGGAGAGTCGGAGAGAAACGATGAGAAATCCAATTCCTCCCTCCGCCTGTGTGTTCTCGTGTGGGCTCTGTTGCTCCACTCTACTCCTGTACAACAATGATACAACATGATGTACATATGCTACCTACCTGGGTATGCACAGTACATGTGCTTTGAGCTGGGTAGACGTGCATCTTTGTGAGTTTTCCAGATTAGGCAGCCCTCCGTGCTGCTGCTGATGATGATGAGGAGGAGCAAGCACGCAAGCAAGCGATCAAGCAATTGAGCAGGGCAAGGCAGGATGTCGCGAGGGACGTGGATATGTCTCGAAGAATGAACGATTTCGAGACATCAACGCCGCGGTCTGACCTTTCGAGGAACGGGGAGTACTCATGATGGCCAATAGTAATGTTGTTCATCTCTCCTTTTTCTCCTCATCCTCACCCAAGTCAAGGTTCAACGTTGTTCCTTCACCGCCTGGTGTTTTGACACAGTTTAATAATGAGAAAGGAGACGTGATGATAATGATCAGACCAGGCGGGTTTTTTCCCCGCGAACGTTTGTGCGTGCGTCCAGCTGCAGTAGTTGGAAGCCTTGAGAGTTCCGTGCCTTGTGTTGCGCGGAGAGAGAGAGAGAGAGGAACCCCCATTCACCACCTACATCTGCCGTCCTCCCTCCCACCCTGTTCATAGGTCACTTCCGTAGAGAGATGTAGAGGCACAAGGTTGAAGAGGGTGAAGTGGATTGCACACTGCTATACCTGACGTCGCCGAGCACCGTTTTTCCCGCGGACGGAAGTCTCCACCCGGAAAGGTTCCATCCATCTATCCATCCATCCATCGATCATCAATCCGAGATGGACGAGGGGAAAAAAGTCAAGGACCTGCAGGCGGTCTGTTTACCTACCCAGGTACCGACTGTATTGATTAATCATCGGCATGGGCAGTCCTGTACTGTTCCTGAGCATGTCACTTCTGCCTAGGCGCAGCTCTAGACGGAAACCTTGGATCGGCCCTACAGCTGTGGGTGCAGGTGGGTATGTATAGACCACCGATGCCTACCTAGGCATCTACAGGAATTGGATTCGCCCGCGTGGGCTCGTCGGGCAGTATTCTGTTCCCATGATATCGATTCCAGCAGTGATGTGGGAATACTGCTTGCTATGTATGTACATATCATAGAGACACGTATAGTACGTACCTAGCCTCGGCGTAATTTCCAAACAATGACATAGAACAGGCGAAAGAATTGCTTCGAAGGAGTGGGTGTAATCATGATGACGATGAGGATGAGACGGCTTGACCAGCTTTTATTTTATTTTATTTCTCCGCCCGGGTTTTGGTATGGACCACTTCCGCGCGTACGATGAATTGCCGTCCACACGGGCGGGCGGGCACCAGGGCAGGGCAGGCCAGGGCAGGGCTTTTGCGTCGGCCGCGCCTGCACAAACACTAGCGAACCTCGACTCTCCCTCTCCACCTGCAGTTCTCTCCCGACTCGTCTCCAGGGCTGTTTTACAGGACGCTCCAGTACTAGATAGCTACTGTTCCTGGGTACCACGGCAATACATACATACACACACTCATCACACTCCTACTTACTACTACTACTACTACTACTACTACTACTACTACTACTACTACTACTACTACTACTACTACTACTACTACTACTACTACTACTACTACTTGCTGCTACTGCCAACCAGCCAGCCCTAGAGAGAGGATCCGCACACAACTAATAAAACCCACAACCACCACCACCCGCATCCGTACCCGCACGACCTCACTCCGACCAACAAACCTGCGGCACCTACCCGACCGACCGACCGACCGACCGACTGCACGATCCACGCCTTCGCCTGTCCCTTTGGATTCGGCGTTTCTTCCCTTCTCATCATCATCATCATCACCGCCTCCCTCCCTCCCTCACTTGGTCCTCTCAATTCACTCGCTTCCGAACCACTCGACAAAAGAACCACTTCGCCCGCGTCCACTCTCCAATCCAACCCAACCCATACGCAACACCGCCCAACACCCGCCGCGTTCCTGTTGCCTCACCACCATCCGCCTCGTCGCGCTCGGATGAGCCCATGGTCATGAGCTGCACCTGCATCTCTATTCGTCTCTCCGACCTGCCGCGACACACCCCGCGCGTAACCACGCCATCACTGCCGTACCTGTCTGCGGCAAGCACGACCACGGTTACCGCGGCACCGACCAGCCTGACACCACCGTGATCGCCGTCTCCGTCCATCCCGCCAGTTCTTGTAATCTCGCCGCTGTCATAACCCGCCAAGCTCTCCCGTCCTGCTTTCAAAGCATACACTAGACAGTACCGGGCATCATCACGCATAACATCTTCACCATGTCGAGCAGCAAGGATCCCGCGTCCGATGCTCGCTCCCTCGATGAGCAGACCGAATCTGCAGGCTCACTGTCCTCTTCGACCGCTTCGGTATCAACATCACGTCGGACATCCATCACGCCTCAACCGCCATCACAACCGATCCCGACCTCGAACCCGCTCGGCGCGGCTGCGCCTGTCTTGCGAACCTCGTCATCGAGCAGCTTGGCCCGTCGAGCTTCACCCTTGACCGGCACGAGTCCACGCAGCTCACGAACCACGTCTCCCATCCGCAAGGACAAAATCTCTCCGAGCAATAACAATGGCGCGTCGGCTCCCCCATCGGCTGCGGCAATTCAACGAGCGCTCTCATCGTCGAACATGCCTCAACTCAGCCATAACCAAACTGTCCCCGAGTCACTCTCGAAGCTACCGCGCAAGCAGGATAAGGCACCCGCCCCGAATGATGCCTCGCAACCGTGGCCGACATCACCCAGGATAAGATCACCTCCTCCAGCGACACCGCATTCGCGCCGCAATAACGCCAACAGCGCACAGAAGAGGTCGGAATCGGCACCTGCAGGTGGTGTGGCTGCGTCATCCACTTCCGCCCCTGCGACTCCGGCTGCCAAGCAAGCTGAGCCGGAGTCTGCCAAATCCGAGAATAAAAGCACCACCACCACCACCACCGGCACAGGCAAAACTCCGCTACGAGCTACGGCCGGGAAGCCGCTGTTGGAAACGGTGCAGGAGACGTCCACCGATACGATTGTCGAAGCCAGTCCTGCGGTGATTAGGGTCAGCCAGGATCTCAAGCCGCTGACACCCATTGGCGAAGATGATCGCGACAGGTCAAAATCGCGCGTGATCGACTCTGACAAGCAACATCCGGGCGAGAGCGGGAATGAAAGCACTGGCAACAAGAGCGACGGCGCACGTGGTCGGCGACCATCGAGCACTGCTCCCACCCACCTTACGCAGAAGCCCAGCAAACCAAACATCAAAACTGCATATCCGCTATCCTCGACCAAAGTCCGACCTGCCGAGGGAAAGCAAAATATGACGGTCGAAACCGAGACTGTGCAATCGATACCGCAATCTGGTCTGACGGCAGGAGACCGATCATTAGGCCCACGGAACGAAGCTGGGAGTGTGCGACTGAAGCCAAGCACCGAAACCATTCGCCCTAGGAAGGAACGAAAGAAGGTGGATCGCAAAGCGAGGAGTATCAATCAGGGTACAGGTATGTTTGAGGGCGCGATTTCCTTCCATTTACCCCCTTTTCTTTTCAAATCTTCAGATAAATTCATCTCTCTGTTCAAGATCGTCGGCTCTCCGGCGCATTCGGGATGCTGTAGTATGGCGCTCCGATGCAGCGGCGGCACAGTGCACATTGGCCTCCCTTAAACGAGGCGCCTCCGTCAATGTCCATCACCGAGCGGATTCGACGCGCACTTTCTTTTTCGGGCTTCTCCCATCGGACCAGTCCGCCTAGGACCATGGCTCGCAGACGATCTTCTTTGGTCTCACAGGTTGCCAAGACCATATTGATTCCGAGCAATCTTATCGAGAGTATTTCTAACGTAGTTTCGCCCAAAGCCACCTCCAAAGCCGATCTTTTCGAAGCACGCGTCGCCAGCGCCGTTGACGAAGTCAGCACTTCCGACTCGGACGAGACTTTTGTATACGAATCCAATCCTCCAGACGCCCAACGACGCCAACGTCATCATTCTCGGACCCCCAGCGTGGCATCATCGCATAGTATCGCCGAACAGAGCCGCAGCGGAGTGCGCGGATTCGGCGACACTTATGACGGCAGACGTCTCGGCGGCAAGCGGAGCATGAAATTCTCCAGCAACAACGCATTCAACGACACCGACAGCCCGGAGAGCGTCTCCGGCACAGTTCGATCTCACGCTCCTCGACATTTCGGACGGTTTGGTCGCAATGGCCACCATTCTGGCAACTACGAATCCGAATCGCCATATCCCCAGCATGCTCACAAGAGCCGCAGCAACCACCTGACGGCGCCTCACGGCCGATCCCCCGTTTCTCCCCGCAGTCCCCTAACAATGCAACATCGCTCTGGAGGGATCTTCGGGCGCAAACAGGAACACCCCTACGATTTCGACACCGAGCAAAACGCCGACGATGAGACAGCACCTCTGCTGAGCACGATCCGTGGCCCACGTGGTCACCGCAACGCGAGCCGTCAAATCAGCCGCGGTCTGCCATCCAACGAATACCTCCCACAATCCCGCCGTGGCTGCAACCCCCGCACCAGCGCATGTGTGTGTACAACCATCTTTGTACTACTTATTCTCTCCGCCGCCGTTGGCTTTATATTTTCTTCCAGCCGACCTCTCTACGACGTCGAACTTCAAGGCATCAGCCACGTCCTCGCGAGCGAACAGGAATTAGTCCTCGATTTGCTCGTCACGGCCATCAACCCGAGCAGCCTGGCGGTGACGGTCTCCGACGTCGATCTAGACATCTTCGCCCGCAGCAAGCATTTCGGCACGGACGGCAACGACGACGGCGCGGTCCAGGAGCGCTTGGTCTACAGCACACGCCGCCACCGACCCCGCCGTCCCTCTTCCCTCTCCGAAGCCACCCCTCCTTCCCCTTCTGACGACCATTACGAAAACCCCAACCCATCCCAAGATCCCTCCGGACACTGGCTCACGCCCCTCGCCCCGGACTCCCACGACCACGGCACCGACCCGGACCCCTCCCCACCCGAGCGACAGACCCTCTTCCTCGGCCGCAGCTTCCACCTCGAACAGAACCTCCTCTTCCCGCCCTCCCCGCTCGCCCGCCGCGCCGGCTACGCCTCCACCTCCCTGCGCGTCAGCCACCCCGGCAACAAGACCGAGACCGACGGCTCCCAGAAGTGGGAACACGTCGTCCTCTTCCCCTTCGAACTCATCGTCAAGGGCAGCCTGAAATACAACCTCCCCGTCACCGGCCGCACCCAGCACGTCAGCCTCGGCGGGAGCGTCATGGTCCGCCCCGCGGGCGGCGAGATGGACGACGACGACGATGATTTCCTCTCCCCTGAGCTCCGCGGGAATTGACGACTCTCACGACCATGATGATGACGACGATAACGATGATGATATCGATATTGATACTGACACGGATCGAATCGATTTTCGATTTACCGAATGTATGATGCTTTGCGCCCCCCCCGCCTCCCCCCTTTTTTCATTCTTCTTAATTTTTTTTTCTGGGGGAGGCTCCCCTTTTTATCCGGCTTGGGCGTTTCTTTTCTCTTCTTTCTTTCCGGGAGGCCGCGCCAATTCTTCCCGGTTTGGATCTTCTGGGATGGGTTTTTCGCTTAACTGTGAAGCGAATCTCGCTCTCCCTCTCTCTCTCCTTTTTCTTTTGTTGTCACTGGACCTTGGAGGAAGCGATGGAGGACGCTGATGGAAAAGAAAGGAAAGGAAAGGAGGAGAAGGAAAGGATGACTAGGGGGAGGAGCAGGAGGAAAGAACAAAGAGGAGGAGGAGGAGGTGGCAGAAGAACGCGGCGGTCATCCCGGCGAGAGAACGAGAGAAGAAGAAGAACCCCTCATCCTCGATACGACCGACTCTCGGGTCGGGTCCACATTAGATTTCGGGAACGAGGTTATCTCTCTAATTCAATCCCATCGATCGCATCTCGCCCGTAATGAAATTCTTCGGCGGTTGCAAATGATTTCCCTTCCCCCCGTCTCGTCCCGTCTGGCTTCTCCCCTTTTTGCCTTTTATTTCGTGGAATTCATCTGCCTATCTGCTGTGCTGTGCTGTGCTTTTGTCGCTCCGCCTCTCGATTTCGATTCCGGTTCCGGTTCCGGTTCCGGCTCCGATCTCATCTTTCCCTGCCTGCTCTCCCTCGAATACTTAGTTGCCCAACGGCCGCCATGCCCCCCCAGGCGGCCTCCACGGCCCAAAGCGACCTCCACTCATCCCATGTCATTTCATCGCCGCGATCTATCCGACGCGACGTCTGACCTCATCCGCTGTCGTGCTCCAGTCCAACCACGGAGGGACCATTCCCGACGGCGCAATGCCGTTGATCCGGGGAAAGCCGCAGTCTCGTTCGATCGTGAAGTAGCCGAGGAGATGTAGACGACCGATCGTGACGACGAGCTGCTCCAGGAAGCCGTACGCGGCATTCGGAACGGACGTCATGTAGTATGCGATCGTGGCTGACGAGCTGTCGAGACTGTAGCATTTGTTGCTGACGAGATGTCCGGGATCGTTTGCCATTATTGGGAGGATTAGCATTGAAGCTGCTGGAGAGAGCTCGAATACAGCGACTTTCATGTATGCTCTCCGAGCAAGTGAAAGGGTTGTATTTCTACGAGATTCTGTGCCACCCTTGGGATCAAATCGATATGTGAGCCTCTCCTGGTGAAAGACCTACGCGTCAAACGCAACACTTCTATGTGGCCGCGGCCTTCACGTCATTCTTAAGTGTTGTCGGTTGACGGTCGTCTAACGCCGCTCATCTTGAGATTGAGAACTTTTCTGAGCAGAAGCCGAAAGAGATCTTCCAGACAACGCAGTCCATGCAAATGCCACGCTCATGGCGATGACGCTCAGATAGAAGAGGATGGACCCTCCCTTCGTCAGGAACGTGATGATAGAGTCCAGCACCACAGGTCCGCTCCAGACAATCTTGTTCCCTGCCACGCTGATTTTACCGAGTATGCCGACACCGTTGAATCGCTCAACGATGCCGACGTTTGCAGGCGGGCTGAAGAAGTGCTTGAAAGGCGCCGTGATCCAAGCGATCGTACGATAAGCACGAAGGATCAACCGCGCCGAAGGACTTTCCAGGTCGAGGCAAACGCATTTGGGAAATGCGCTGAGAACAACAGAGAGCACGTATGATGTCTCGAGACACATGCAGCCAGGTTGGTCGGCCATGACTCGCGATTGCGATATCTCTTGCTTCGGTTGACGGTCGTCTGGTATGAGTGATGATTAGAGTTTTTGTTGTTGTTCTTCGTTGTTACCGAACATAGGCAACACTCTTCGCTTCAAGGTATTGATTCATCGTAGCCGCTCTCTTTCACGTGTGAGTGGGTTTGCGCGTGAAGTTCGTGCACGGACCAGATGAACTTCGCGATGCTTCCAAGGTTGCTTGCTTCATCACCACTTCAACTCGCAGCTTCTTGACCCGTTCGAACCACGCCTTCCCGCGCCGGAATCTTCACTCGCTCTTCACCGCGTCATCGACATCGTGCGATATCATACGCCTCCGAAGACCACATCTCCGCGCTCAGCTGCAGAACCGCGGGTCGCGCGCGCCGGGGACGGTCATCCACCCACCGGCGACATGTCCGCACAGAACATCCCGATTATCAAACCCGGCCAGATCGACGCTCTTCCCCATCTCGATGCGAACACCAAGGTCAAATACAAGTCCGCCCTCACGAATCTATGGACTCAACACGCACAAGCGCCCCAGGGCTCCCCCGCACGTCTGGAGATGGAGAACAAAATCCGATCGGCTAGCCAACAGATCATGCAGGCCATGGCAAATGCGCGGACAGGCGCTGCCGCTTCTGGCCAACAGCGTCCTGTGAGTCAGCAACAACAGCAACAACAGCAACAACAACAGCAGCAGCAGCAACAACAGCAGCAGCAGCAACAACAACAACAACAACAACAACAACAACAACAGCAGCAGCAACAGCAGGCCGCGACGGCGATGCAGGCACAGGCGAATCAGCAAACGCAGCAAGCCGCTGCTCCACAACAGGGTGCTCAAAGCCAGAATGCTCAGGGAATTCAACCAGGGCAACAGCCGAACCAAGCAGGTTCACAGCAAATGACACCCACGGATCTGAAGATCAAGGCGGAGGTCCAGGCGATGACGGTATACTATCCTGCATCCTCACCTCCCGACGGTCAAGCGGCGCACGTCAACAGCTGGAAGATGCAGGCGTTCAACCTTCTCAGAAACCGCGAGCGTTATGCAGCGCAGGGCAAAGCGATGCAATTGCAGGCAGTGCAGGCCAAGGAAAAGGGACAACCACTGCCACCGACATGGCACCAAAAGTTCAAGGAGCTTAAGGAGCAACATGATCAAATCAACAAACGCTGGCAGAACATGCAGAATGCGAACAACGCCAATGCACCGGCAGGGACCCAAATTCAACAACAGCCAGGGGCGGCCCCAGCAGCAGGCGCAGCGCTTGCGAGACCAGGGACACAACAGTCTACTGCGACACCTGCGGGTGTTGCGCAAAACCCACAGGCGTTATCACAACAACAGGCACAGCAACAACAGATTCAGCAGCAGCAGCAGGCTCAACAGCAAGCTCAAGCTCAAGCACATGCGCAGGCTCAGGCTCAGGCTCAAGCGCAGGCACAAGCCGCAGCTAAGCAAGCACAACAACCCGTGAACAAGCCGAACAATTCTGCGCAGCCGAATGCACAGGCACAGGCGCCTCAGCATAACCCCCAGGCAGCCGCGAACCAGAATGCGCAACAAGTGAAGCCTCCAGCGATGCAACAACAAATGGCGCCCGGACAGCAAAACTTGCCCTCGGCTGCAGCACAACAGCCACAACAGCAACCACAACAACAACCGCCACAGGCGCAGCAGCAGCAGCAGCCTCTACCACAAAATTACCCAAGTAGTAGTATGCAACATCCTCAAAATATGCAGCAACAGCAACAACAACAGCAGCAGCAGCCGGGAGGTCCGCAGCAGGCTGTTCGCCCACAAATCAACATGCAACATGCTCAACAGCAGCAACAGAACATGCGCCAACAGCAGGGAATGCATCAGACTCCTACGTCGGCCATCACTGCCAACACGCCAATTCAGCAACAGCAGCCGAATCAACAACCGCCACAGAACCAACAACCTCAGCCTCTAAGTCATCAAGCAGCAATTTCACAAGCGCAAGCTCATGCTCAACAAGCCGCTCAGCAACAACAAAATTCCCAAATGAATGGTCATCCGTTCACAGGCGCTGGAAATGCATCTGCCAACCTCGCCGCGCAGAACAACACTCCTGTCACCGCGCATCCATATCCGCAACAGCTTCAGCAACAACAGCAACAAATGCAGCAGCAGCACCAACAGCAACAGCAGCATCAACAGCAGCAGCAAGCACAACAGCCTCATCCGGGAAGTGTCAGTGGCCCTAGCGGAGGAGTGCAGCATCAAAACGCCCACGGCAAATTCCCAATCCCCAAAACGCTTACCATGGATCCAAGGACTCAGGTGCCTGTCCCGGGCCCTCAATCTCGACCCACGCTCGCCAACCAAGGTATGATGCAACAACCCAGCATCCAGCGTGCCCCGCCATACGTCCTCGAAGGCGAGGGCGACCACGTCCTCTCGAAGCGCAAACTCGACGAACTCGTCCGCCAAGTCACCGGCTCCGCCCCAACGACCAGCAGCAGCATCAACAAAACCAACAAGGACGACGTGCTCCCCACCAGCATCCTCGACCCGGACGTCGAGGAATCCATCCTTCAGGTCGCTGACGATTTCGTCGACAACGTCATCACCGCCGCCTGCCGTCTCGCCAAGCTCCGCCCTAACCAGACGTTGGACATTAGGGATGTGCAGCTCGTCCTCGAGAGAAACTACGGCATCCGCATACCGGGATACTCGCTCGACGAGGTACGCACGGTGCGTAAATTCCAACCGGCGCCCGGTTGGCAGACGAAGATGCAAGCGGTGCAGGCCGGGAAAGTCATGGGTAGCCGGGAGCCGTGAATAAGGATGACGGGTTCACGAGGTAGAAATGACATCTTCTGGGTCCGGAGGGGCCGCACGCGTCGGCTCGGTGTTTTTCAACGTTTTGTTCATTATTTTTGGAGGGTCACGCAAGGATTTGTCGTGCTCGCGTAAATGGCACCCGAGACCAACACTCGGCGGGAGGCAAAATTGTACCCTATCGTGACGACCCAATGGAAGTAAGCCTTTCGGAAATGTTTCATCATTCATCCACTAGAATCTATTCGTGATGCCTCGTATATGCGATCGCTCGGACATGTCGTGCTTCCGTGAAATCTAGCCGGCTTCTAGATCTTCGCTTTCCATCGCCATCCGACCTTCGCGATCCTCGTGGCGATCAAGAGGCTTCCTCCGAGGAAGAAGCTGGTCCCTCCCCATCTGGTAAAGAAAAATAAAATGGTCAGCGAGGGACTCGTATAACGAGCAGGATTTCGCGTGGTCGAGGGCAACGACTTACATTTGAGCGTAGAGGTATCCTCCATCATGACGCTGGATCAGAGCGCCGGCAAGAGGTCTGGTCGAATCATACAGTCAGCACTCATTAGGTCATCAGCTTCACCTCAACGGTCTCTTCCAGGACCAGACTCGGACAGAAAAGACTTCAATCTAACACTTACGGCCCCGTCAAACACGCCCACGACACCACCGTAAACGCCATCCCCATTCTCACTCCGGCTCTTTTCAAATCCGGCACTTCCATCAGCCCGTTGATCACCGCCGGCCAGATGGATTGAATGCCCGCACTCCCGCATCCGTAGATCGCGGCGAAGACGAAGAGGCTCGCGAGACTGTGGACGCCGATCCAGCCGAACATCATGATCCCGCAGAGGTAGGCGAAGGGGATCAGGACGTTGAGAGTGCCAAGTTTGTCGGCGAAATAGTTGGGAAGAAGGCGGCAGACGAAACCGGCGCCGACGACCTGTGAAGTGAGAAATGTGTAAGCTTTTGGTGATGGATTTCATGGAGTAGTGTCGATCGGAGGACGACTTACCGTCAAGAGAAGATTGATCGAGTCTTCGTAGCTGACGTGTAGGACGTTCCGGGCGTAGCTGCCGACATAGAAGAAGGTGAAGAACAGGCCCTGTCATCCGTCAGTCCTCGCAAGCGCTGCACCATCTCGAGACAAAAAGCCCGTACCCAGAAATTGCAAAACATAGCCGCACAGAACAACCCATACGGCAGCTCCCTAAACGCCTGCCAGTCCACCCACGGCGCTCTCCTCCTCGGCTTCAACCTGACCCGAAACAACGCCGCCGCCGCGAGGTCACACCCCACGACCACAAACCCAATACTCCTCACCGTCCACGCGAACCCGATCCTCGGCAACAGCTCCCTCATCAACACGGGAAACACCACACCGCCGGTGCAACTCCCCAGCGCCGCGATCCCCACCGCAATCGCCCTGCGCCGGGCGAAGTACGTCGTGACCAGGGCCATCGCGGGCGGGTACATCAAGCCGTGCGCGACGCCGGAGCAGAGCGCCTGCGCGCAGAAGACCTGCCACCACACGGTCGTGCACTCCGCCGTGGCGAAAGCCCCCAGCGTGTGCAGGAGGAGGCCGGCGATGTGGACCGTCCGGAACGAGCGGGCTCCGCCGTCGAGCGCTCGCCCGGAGAAGAAGCCGATGAAGAAGGCCAGGAAGATTTGCACGCTGCCCACCCAGGCTATCGTGGAGGGCGGCACGGGGAGGCCGGTGGCGCCGTCGAGGAGGGTCTGTTCGTAGTGGGTCTGGAAGGAGCCGTAGGAGGTAATGTAGCTGAGAGGGAGAGACTTTAGTTTTGATCCAGAGGCAAGCGTATAAGGAGAAGCTGAGGCGGCAAAAACAAAATAGGGAATTTTGACCATGTGGTGTTGTCTCGATCTTAGCTCTGTGATCTTTTCTTCTTCTTCTCGCGTTGTGGGGGCATTTCTTGACTTACCCGAATGTCGTGACATTCGTCAGATGCGCAGCGAGACATTGCGTCCACGCTACGACTCCGCCGTCCGGCGGTGGCGACATGTCCTCTTCTAAATCTTCGTCGCGACTCGGATGCGAAGATTGTGTGTCTCCATCCTCTGCGCGTCTGCCCGTGGATGTGTTATGCTCCGACTCGACGACTATGGCATGTTCGATTTCGCCGTCTTTGGTGCCGGGCCATGCAGACATGTTGGCAATCGTCTTGTTCTTGTCTTGGGCGGCAACTTCTGCGACATGATGGTCGAATTTGCTGGAGCCGGATTTCGTGCTGACGGCATCTTGGGAGTCGTTGCGACTTGTCATCGTCCCTGCGCGAGGCCAGGAGAAGTATTCTCTATTGTGTATTTTTCTTTCTTCTAAATTTCGAGTCTTCGTCTCGTTTCGGTTGAGATGGTCATATAGCCACAGATCACCTGAAGGTCTCGTGGGAAGACAGAACCATTGTAATCGCTATGATTTGATTTTTTTCTCGAGATTTAGGAATTCGCATGAGTCATTGAGGATCACGTCTTGGATGTCTTATTATTGCCTCTTCGCCGGCATGTAAATGAAGCTGAGTAATGAGATGTGAAAATCCGCAGATCTATACCCAAGTAGTCAATGACGTGCTTTCGAACGATCGTGCAAACTGACTAGATGTGCCGAAGCACCGCAACTTCTATACATCTCGCTGCTTATGCAGTGTCCTGTACATATTCTGCGGGTTCGTGGTCTCATATTAAATCCTCTATGCCTCGGAACTTATTTATCTGCATGGACATCTGTATCTGGGCACTGTCGTGGGCGAGCTCAGACAACGACTTGGCCAGTAAAACACACTATTTCGATCTCGAAATCCGACACTCATCGCCCATTCACCTCACACCCTCCGGCTCACCATTATGGCTGTTCCATTGAATACACCCACCGAATTCGTGTAAATCACTGCCGGATGCGGCAAAAGGGATCATGGGTGGAATATGCAGGGCCCGAACTCTGCATTCCCACTCTGCGACGTCATTTTACACTCGTCGAATCCACCCGCATCACACGAGCAGAACCACGCACTTGTGAAAATTCCCCGTGGATCGTCGAATCGAACACAGTCTGGACTCGTTTAATATTCCTGTCTTCGTCGCTTTCGGACAATTCTCCTCACCACCACACGGCAACGGTCGTGCTTCCTCAGCGGCAGAGGTGGCGGCGTCGGACGATTGGCTCCGCTTCAGAGAGCTTCGGACCTCACTTGCTTGCCCGCACTGGAAGGCTCCCCGACCTGCAAGCGACGTGAATTTCAGTGAGATCCTCTGTTCGACATGTGTCGATGAGAACATTCATCCTACCGGAACCTAAGTCATCTTCGTTGACCTTTCCCTCATGACTATCGCTTGGTACCCGAATCTCCAACAACTTCCTGGACCCTCAGACAGCTATGGCTCCTTCTTGGAAATAATCAGCTTGAAAAATTGACCAGGTCGAGCAATTGTTCGTCATGTTCTCCCTCGGAGCTTTCTCCGGTAAGTTTGGTCAACAGCTCCACAGCACCTCATCGTCCGCACGTCGTCTCGGAGATACACATCACGTATCCATTGGTAGAGTGTTTTGGCGGGGTAGGCGGACGAAACTCGTGCAACACAAACACCCACGATCGTGCTGCTATGGAGAATCCACAAAATTCGCGTCATGCCAGCAAGCCTCCCAAAGGTCGTCGGTAGCGAGAAGCAAGATTCGGCCGATCTCTAACCAATGCTCGCGACACAATGGATGTTGAAGACAAAGGGCGCATAGTTTCGGGGGTCCCAATTTCCATGCTATCACCATTGTTACAACAAATCCTCGCTGATAAGTTTTACCTACTGAATTTGTATTCAATAGGCGCTAGCTTCATAGCAGCAGATCCAGAAGAGCCCAGAACTCCGCCTGCGTCACCGACACCCGTTTCCTTTCCGCAATATGACCAACATACGACTTCGCCAAGGCCGTGGAGTAGTAACAACCCACCCCCAGATCTAAACTATCTCTTCTCGCATACCACTCGACATGTCGACATCAAGTCTTCGCACCTGGATGTGTTGAACGTCAACCTATCCTCAGAGCCATGTTCTGCTGGCGACCTTATTCCCCGTGGCGTCAATGACACTGACTTCTATCCTCATTGGCAAGTGCCATCTGTTCCCGACGAAGAGTCTCTCAAAGTCGGACCGAATGGTCGGCCTTTGCGCCCGGTCCTCACAATCGAAGAAAGGCTCCGGAAAGACTTCATCGAGCGACTGTCCGAATTGGAGACCGAAAATGATACTGCATTTCGTGTACTGAACAAGAGAAATCTTCCTGGTGTCCGGCCACCTCGGATAGCCACGATGCGAAAATTCTGGGCGCAGCTGGAAAATCTTAGCCACTACTGGGATGTCAGCCTTGACGATTATTTCCAAGTCATGGAAGCTGAGCCCGACGTGGAAACTCAAGAGATGAACATTGATCCCCCTCGCGATCATTCTGGCGAGCAACCATCACCTACCGTGAAGAGTCCCAAACGTCCAAGAGTAGATGATGGGACGAAAGCCATACTAAGTGGTGTCGCCTCCGAGACTCAGGATTCCAAATGCGATCGTGACGATAACGGTGATACGATAATGACCGACGACGATCCCTCTGTGACTTCTGACCCAGACAATGCTGCTTCCAACTCGACCCCGGATTCTGCTCAGCCGGGAGCCATGCGTGAAAAACGCCAGTACAAAGGCCGTCGACTCGGTACTGGTCGAGACATGCCGGATCGCTTTCGAAGCGATGCTATCCTCGCCTTTGTGGAGGGCTGTGTATGGCCTTTCAATTCCACAGTCATACCTCCGCGGAGGGCCCCTGCAGTACGTTTCGGCAATCTGAATATTCCCATCAAGCAAATCGCCAGCGTGTATAGACTTCCCAACGATGTTGCACGTCGACGAGCAGGCTGGATTCAAGGGCCTCTGATTGGACTACAGTCACGCTTGGAAGTCGAGTTTTCCGTCGAGAACAGACAAGATGACGACGAAGCTGATGCTCTCAATCATGATGTCTTGCCCAGTAGGACACATCCGGCTATCACTGCACGTATGAGAAAAGAAAAAGCCAGCTCATCCGCCGTGTCTACAAACTCGGAGAAAATGGACGTTGACATTGTCGATTCTGCTGCTTCTCTCGGCGCCGGAGCTGTCGATGCCTTTCAAAAGCCGGCGCTTCCCTCTTCGCTAAGCAGTTTCAAAGCCCGAGCCGCCAAGAAGAAGCCTCCACCTGTGGTCGAGCCCGTTGCTCGTGGACGGCTCGATATTCTCCGAGAAATTGGTCTTTTGCTCGAAATCGCTCAGGAACGTTACCGTGAAGGCAAAACTGAATCTAGGCCTGGAGCAGGCCAATGGTGGACAGAGAAGCCACGTTGGGGAGGTGGCAAGGGCGGACCTGTAGGTGATGCCGACAAGCCTGGTGACAAATCTCCCTCTATCCCGAGCGGAGGTGCTGACTCGCCGTCCGGTATTGATCCTAATGCAACAGCCGCCCGTCCGACCGTTGCGGTTCCCCAGCGGCCCTCGCCGATTCCGAGCGCAGCCATCAGACAAGTCTCGGCTGCATCCGCGACGACTCTAGACTTTTCATCACTCAGAAACAAAAATGGCACAAGTAGCACGACCATCGTGAACGGCCTCGGAAGACCCTCATCTTCATCCAACAAGGACCCATCTCCCACTCATGAAGCAGCAAAGCCCACCAAAGACGATGCCAGAAAACCATCCTCTGCCTCGGGTGCCCCAATCCATCCTTCCCTCCCCACCACGTCTTCCCTCCCACCTCCCTCACTCATGAAATCGCCCAACTCGTCAAGTATCGATCCAATTCTAGCGGCAGCAGCCACGCCATCGGCATCTTTCGCCAATGAAATGTTCGCACGCCATCAACGTCGAGAGAGGAAATCGCCCGCAGCGATGTGGGAAACTCTCCGCTGTCCGACCGCGACTTGGGACGCCAAGACGGAATACCGGGCGATCGGGAAGGGCAATATCTCGACGAATCCCCCTTCATCTGACGCGACGGCACCCAAAGACAGCGAGGAGAAAGCCTCCATGAGCAAGAACAGAGAGGATATGAGCAACAGCGGTCAGGTCGAAGGTCCGAATGCGGCCAAGGAGGAATACAAACCCCCAAAGACAGCATCGCAAGCAGCAAACCGAGACGGCTGGGACGAGGTCTTCATCGTCTCCTCCCTGAACCACCACATCTCCATCCTCCGTCTGAGCGTACACGATGCATATCTGGAATGTCTCCTCACGGGGAAAATGCCATCATCATCGTCATCGTCATCGTCATCAACTGATCCCTCTACTGCAGGACTAAGCTCGTCAGAGAAATTTTCCGAAGAAGCGGGCGAGGCAGAAGAGAAGAGACATTGGTCCATCCCCCGTATCCGTCGCTCGAAGTGGTACGATCTCCTGAACGCCGAGGATCGCTGCGAGGCTTTCCGTGTGCTGTGGGGGATCATGGCGTATCTATGTCGCGATGAGACGATCTGGTGAGATTTCTCTCGATTCATTCTTATTTTTCTTTCCTCTCGCTTTTTTTCTGTCTTCTCTCGAGGCGGAGAGGAGGAGGAGGAAGATGAGGGAAAAGGTCGTGTTCTAGGCGATGGAGAGGAAGAGAGAGAGAGTGTGTGTGGTGGGCGGTGTTCTATGGATTGGGATTGGAGATTCAATCGCCAGAGGGGTCCTGGGATGAAAGACATACCCTGGTGGGATTTGAGAAGGCTGTGTGTCTCCCGGAATGGGGTTTTCTAGCCCACCATGGCCTGCTTTGACTGTTTTTTGTTTTCTTCTCCTTTCTCTCGGTGTGAATTCCTCGAGATATCAGTCTCTTCATCTGTTGTTTTTTGGAAGTCCACATGATATTAAAGCTCATTATGTTTCTCTTACTCTAGAGCGTACCTATCGATGATCGTCACACGTCTTGGATCATGACATCTCACACATCTCGAGAACGACCATTTACATCCCCCACGTCGCTCTGAGTAGTTTCTGGCATTGGCTCAGCGGGAGACAATGTTTTCTAAAACTTCCCGTCTTTCGACCATGTCTCCTTAGGAAAGTCTCTTTCTATCACCGCCGTCGCACGGAATTGTCTCGACTCCGGTTCCATCACGTTCCTAGCCCTTTCCTTCCACTCCCTCTTTCCGCCTATCATTTTCCGCTCTGCCCCGCTGAGAGATCCGCCTGCTTCTCCAAACCGAACAATCTCCCCGCCACAGAAGCCCATTCCTCCTCCCATCGCCTCTCGCCTTCCCTCCTCGCTCCTCTCCGTAGCCTTTCCAGCTGCGATAAGTGCTCCCTCTTCTTCCCCTTCTTATCTCCACCACCATCAGCACTGTCGTCATCGACGCTCCAACCTGCCCTCCTCCCATCACGTCCGACCTCCCCGAAAAGCTCCACGAGGATCTCGGACAGTTGCTCGGGACTCTGGAAACCACGCCCGTTCCCCATCTCTTCGTCTCCCACCGCATCCCTCTTCTCAGAAACAACACCCGCACCACCATCATCAGAGGACGAGGACGAGGACGAGGAAGGAGGTTCCCTGACGAGTTCGCCCCAGCTCTCGAACCCGCTCCAGCCCACGACGGGCAATCCGCTGCCGAACATATCCACCACTTTCATCGGCAGGTCGACCCCGCTGCTGGACATGTGCAAGCTGAGCCCCAGATCCGCCGAGGACAGCAGGCCCGCGTAATCAGCCGGGGTCAGCCAGGCGTTGAGGATGCTGACGCCCGGGAGCCGGCCGGCGGAGCGCAGCGTGGAGATGCGCGCCATGTAGTGGGGCAGGAGGGGCCCGCGGCCGGTGATGATGGCGTGGATGGCGGGGAGATGCGCGGTGGCGGCGGTGGCGGAGGAGGAGGAGGAGAGCAGTTGGGATTCTCGCAGAGTCGCATATGAGACCAGGCCCTGCAGGAGGACCTCGAAGTCCTCGTCGGGCGTCCACGAGGTGCTGCTCACCAGCAGGCGGGTCTGGCCCGAGAGGATGGGTGCCGCGTGGTCCGCGGTCTGCGGGAGTCTGCGGAGGAAATCTTCCCGTTGGGAAAGCTCGGTGAGCGGCTGGAAGATCTCGGCGGGTCGGTCGTGCAGCGTGAGGGCTTTGATGCCCCATTTGCGCTTCAGCGCCGCGGTCATGGCGCGGGACACGGCGAAGTGGGCGGCGGCGCCCCGGCCGAAGTTCCCCTCGTACCAGCTCGCCAGACGCACGAGCGGGTGGGAGGCGCCGAGTCGGAGGGCGAGGATGCTGTAGCCGAAGTTGTGCCAGTCCACGACCAGGTGGGTGCCGCGGAGGGCGCAGACGAGGCGGGCGACGGCGAGGGTGGGGATGGCGGGCGGGTTCTGCAGCAGCAGCCAGGCGGAGGCCGGGGCGGTGTAGGCGAGGGTGCGGTAGAGGGCGGCGATCTGCCAGAGGACCTTGAGGGGCGCGGTCACGAGGAGGAAGGCGAGGCGGTTGCGGAATTGGAGGCCCCGCGGGAACGTCGCGAGCGCGTACACCCGCACGAAGCGGTTCGCTGCGAGGTCGGGGTGGAGCTCGGCGGTGCCGACGTCGCCGATCAGCGCGACGGATACGCCGCGTCGGGCGAGGGACAGGGCGTGGTATTGCATCCGGGGACTGCGGCCGAGTTCGCCGAGGACGAGGACTTGCACACTTGAGGAGCATCGAATCTTGGAGGCGTTTCCGAGGAACGCATCTTTTCCGTTGGAGGAGGCGCCTTGGGTTTCCCGCTCCGAAAGAAAGTAGGTGTACCCTGAACGATCAGAATTTTCGGGTTGCTTGTCCGTCTCGGAAAAGACGTCTTCGGCGATGGTTGGAGGTGAAGACGGATCGAATGAGTTGGGTAATGTGAATGCAATTATTGGAAGGACCACAAATGCGGCGAATGTGATGAAAACGGCGAAGATGAAGGCCGTGATGGTTGTGACATTGATCGGGACCCAGGCCAGTGAAGGCGGTAATGTGATGAGAGTCATTCTTTTGCGAAATCCAAGGATGTCAATCGATGAGTGTTGCTTTCTTTCCTTTCAGCAGTCATTGGTTGATGCTGAAGGAGATTCGACAAGGAGGTGTGCAACGGAGTCGCTTCAAGCCGGGATTATTGCCGATTCACAGCTGGCAACCCTTCCATTGATGCTGTGTACAAATCAACCTAATTTTGGAGCCGACGAGGGGAGTTGCATCGACGTTGGCAGGAAATAGTGCAATCTCAAGCTTATCGTCTTCTCCTGTGTTCAGCCTTGCCAAGCCACGACGTCGTTCTGTCGGTGTTGTTGTCGTTAGGACAATCGCATGGAGCGCAGCACACGTGGCGTGAAGTCGGGAGACGAGTGGACGGGACACAAGATCGGAGCCGAGAAGTCGGAGATTCGATGCCGAGCCGCCGATCGAGCGCACACCGCACGTGGGTATTTCCTCTTTCTTCTACAGGACCCGTCGATATATGAACATGGCAATAATTTGCAACATCAGTCATTTCCAATTTTCCGTAGAGGTCAATGACAAGATGGAGATTTGGGGGAGGTGACTAATCATTTCCACAGTCGTTCACTCCTGGGCTCATTGTCACTGTACATTGTCTGGACAATTGGAAGCAGCGTTATCGATATGCTAAGACGAAGGGAGGAGAAGCAAATTGGAGACATTCGCAGCATTGGCCATACGGAAATGCCCCACTCTCAGCCATCTCACATCATTCCCAGGTTGACATCATCATTATTATTATCATCATCGTCCTAAGATGGAATCGGGTGTGGCGCCGATGCACGTGTCTATAGAGCAATCGTGTGGTAATCCGGTTGCGCTCTACAGCACCTCTATGTTCCATTCCAAGGCGTGACGATATGTGATATTCTCGACAGTGACATGGTCCATTTCCCTAGGAGTCCAGTCCTCGGGTCCACAGCAGAATATATATGCATATCTTTCGAGCGCGTGTCTAGTCCTAGAGCGAGCCACTTCATCGGGGGAAAAAAAAGAGGATTCAAGAAGCCGGAGTGACTAATCATCAATGCGCGGAGGTATTTGATACGGAATCGGAATAGTCCGAGATGAACAGTCCTGTGATTACAGTGGAGATGCGTGGGCTCGCGCGCAACGTGTGTGGCTTGAGACGGACCCCTCGCGCCGCCCCGGAGTTTACTCCTACTGTAATGTGCAGTGGGTCGGTAGATATCGATAGGCAAAGTGGTGAGATGTGCATCTGCTGTAGAGGAACATGTGAAGGCAGCGCGAGTCTTCTCTACTGTAGTTGCCGCTTTGTAGGAGAGTAGCCGCGGTGATTATAGAAAGCAACAATGATAAATGTTTCGGTCCAATATGAACGGCGGCGCAACGTCCGAAAAGGGTCTTGGTCTGGCTCTGCGGTTGGAGAGGTGAATCCCACGTGTGTGTGTCTGGGGGTAACGGAACTGGGTCGCGTTGCTCTCCCGCTATCTACATACTCACATACTGTGCTGTAATGTATGTACACTCTGTACTGTACCGCATCGTCTCATATGTGAATGCCATAGTCCGGACGCTCGTTGGTTTCTGCAATACACTTCGCTGTCCGTCCGCTGAAGGGACCTCACATCGCAATTGCATCACAGCTTCGTTCCTCCCGTACCTTGGTCGACGACGTCTACGTCTCTCCTTATCTCCAACGGCGGAACATCGAGCCCAAGCGCACGTTGAAACACTGTCTCTGCGACAAATATATGAAAAGCTCTTGGCCGCGATACTCCACATGACGATCCTGCACATCGCCTTCTCGTCGGTCGCAGCGGTGCGAGGTTGAAGTGCGTTCCTCGGAGGGAGCAAGATAGGTCAAGAGACAGGACAAACAATCCCAGACCAAGTCGCTGCACAGTCCTGCACATCACGATCCCCAGCGCGACGATTGCCATACGGCGGGAAAGGATCCATACCTACCATTAAGAGAAGGACTGGATAACATCATTAGCATCACCATCATGGCTTCTGCTCAGGCCTTCACGCCTACGGGAAAGAGCGATCATCATCTCCACCCACCAACCCTCGCCAAATCACCGCCTACCTCGCCTTCCATTCCGCAGAACAGTCAACCTTCCGCGCATCGTCGCCAAGGGCATGCCTACAGCCACTCTTTCTCCAACTTCGCTTCCCCTCCGCCTACCTACACTCGATCGGCTCTCGACCAACTTTCCGCAAATAGCCAGCCACCGCCGACCGGAATAAATGGCAGCCTCAATGGATATGCGTTGAGCAGTAAGAGCCCGTCCGCCTCCAATGGCTTTTTGTACACCCATACCGAAACGAGCAAGGAGAATACCCCCATGCCATCGCCATCACCGCCGTTGACGAGAGGGATAGACCCTAGGCAGGCCTTGAGTCGCAACCACAGCCACAGTCGTAGTCACGGACACGTTCACGATTCTCATCAGCCGCCGCAGTCTGGGTCAGGATACGGTCTGGACCAGACACAATCACACTGGCTTGAACAAGACCCTTTCTCTCAACAGGCGCATGTCACCTTGCAAGAGCAGAAGTCGAATCCTTCCCCGCATAATCACCACCATCACCACGACCACGACCACGAGCATGAACAGCATCAGCATCACCACGAAGACCACGACCATTCGCATGGTGTACACACGCCTCATAACCACTCTCATAATCATTCCCATTCTTCTCCGTTCGCTCACAACAACGCATCCGCACTATCACAATCCATCTCACACCCACAGGCAGAAATGAAGAGCAGGCCTCGAGGACAATCTGATCTGGGGAGACGGCTCGATGTGCCCATGCCGAAAATCAACACTTCGCGCGCAAATGATTCATGGCCTGCAGTTGCAGATGCGCTCGCAAGCGTTCTCATTCCTCTGCCATATCTACTTGTCGCCGCTGCTGCGACGACGCTGATTGGAGTTCGAACAGCCACGAGCTTGTCGGCAGAACTACTCTCACCCATGCAGAAGTTACGGCAGGATATCATGGAAGATGGTGGGCAGGCGGAACACCTCAACCTGAAAGAAGTTCCCTTGAACGATTCTGCGAGCGTGCTGATGGCTTGTATCTTGACTTCGGGGACACTTTTGCTTGTGGGGGTCTTTGGTGTCTGGAGGACCACACAGCAACGTCTCCTTGACAGACGGAAACTCAGGATAAACAGCACCTGGTCAGACTCACAGCAGAAACAACAGCAACAGCAGTCGAGCAGACTGTGGACGCTCCAAACAGCCCAAACGGCGGCGGCGCGCACGCTCGGCGTAGGCTTACCCTTCTACGCCGCGCTACAAATCGGCGGCACAAGGACAAGCATGCTCCTTTTGACTGCCGTCGCCACAGGGTTGATCTACACGAATGGCCACATCTCCTCGGTCGCTGTTCTAGCGCAGACGGTGCAGGCCCGAAGGGCGACATTCTTCGTGTTGGCTCTGTGCATAATTGGGGACCTCTCTGGTCTGACGAGTACAAATCCATCTTCGGGTCTGGTCTTGGGCTACTCAGCGCTGTTCTGTGCAGTGTTTATATTCCCTCCACCACTCCCATCGATCCCGGATGCGTCATCGGCAGCAAAGTCGGAGGGAGAACCTGCAGGGACGACTACCACAGGTGCAGCACGGCCGATGGGAAACTCGAATCGCCTGCCCGCATCATCTCTGACACGTTCTCCGCATGATTCGCAGCTGACACTCCTCTCTGGTGTTGCTACCACTTCGCTCACGGTCCTTTTCTGTCTCGTGAAGCTGTCCTTCGGCCATGTCATGCCTCTCCTATCAGGCCCGTGGCTCGTTCTCACCCTCGCAAGCTGCATCGCCACAGCAGCCAGCATGCTCTACTCACGACCTTTTGTCTTCTTTCCTCAGCGAGCCTACGATAGCCATAAACATCGACCTTGGAAGACCAGCCTCTACATCATCGCACCCGCTGCCGCGATCATCGCCTTCGCGATGCCATTGTTCACGCCGATTACAGCTGATTCAACGACCATAACTTTCCTCAACCTTTTCCTTCTCATTTCGTCGTGCATCGGCTACTGCTACGACAAGACTAAACCCTCCTTCCGCCTCCACCGGTCCTCTAACGATGCCAATGGCAGCGCCAACTTCGCTCTCCCCCCTAACGCATTCTCCTCTGCAATGTCTCCGTCCATTCTCTCGCCGTTTCCGTTTTCTTCAGCTTTCTCCTTTGCTTCTCCGCCAGTGTCGCCGATGGTGGACGGCAGGCCGCACCATCACCACCACGATCACGATCACGATCATCATCACCATGGGCCAACCACCGCTTTCCGCCGGAAATCTTCGGCCGCAGCTACCATCCTGCAGCTCATCGATGGGAAAGACTGTTCTTTTGTTACGAGGTTCCTCATGGCGAGATGTCAACCAGGGTCTTTGATGGCGGGAATCCTAGCAGAAAAGGATTCTAGGAGGATTGCATACTTCACAATGTGAGTGGCCCTGACTTCTAGCTGATGGATTTTACGACCCTTCCACTGACACCGTACTTCTGCAGTCTCAACTTTGGCTTCATGCTCGTTCAGGGCGTATATGGCTATCTCTCTGGCTCCCTCGGCCTACTCTCTGACACAGTCCACATGTTCTTCGACTGTCTCGGTCTCGTCGTCGGCCTCGGTGCCGCCGTCGCCTCCAAATGGCCGACATCACCCGAAAAGCCCTACGGATGGGCCAAGCTCAACACGCTCTCAGGTTTCGGCAACGGCATCTTCCTGATGCTCGTCAGCGTGGAATTTATCTGGGAAGCCTGCGAGGGCATCGCCGAGAAGCGCGAACTCCGCCGCGTCATGGAGCTGCTCATCGTCAGCTCCCTCGGCTTCGCCGTGAACCTCGTCGGCCTCCTGGCCTTCGGGCACGCCCATGTCGGCCACGATCACGGTCACGGGCATGATCACGGCCATCACGACCACGGCCACGACCATCATCACCACCACCATCATCACGACCACGGCCACAACGAAAACATGCACGGCATATTCCTCCACATCGCCGCCGACGCGGGCGGCTCCCTCGCCGTCATCCTCTCCACCGCCCTCGCCCTCTGGCGCCCCTGGTACCTCTGGGACCCGCTCGCGACCATTTTCATCGCGGTCTTGATCTTCGCCGCCGCCGTCCCGCTCGTCACCAGCAGCGCGAGGAAACTGCTCCTCGTCCTCCCCGAGGCCGGCAACGTCGAGTGGAGCGTCCGCGAGGCCCTGAGGGAAGTCGTGGAGATCCGCGGGGTCGTGGGCGTCGCCGCCGAGGGCGGTCTGAGGGTTTGGGAGGGCGTCGCTGCGGACGCCGAGGACGAGGGCAAGAAGGAGAAATGCGGACATGCGCATCATGATCATGACCATCATCATCATCATCATCATCACGATCACGGCCATCACGACCACAAGCATGATCACGGCCACGACCACGCCCGCAGCCACAGCCACGACCACACCCACCTCTCCCCTCCTCCCGCCAACACCACCCCTTCCCCTCACGACCACCATCATTCCCACGACCATGCCCACCACGACCACCCCCACCCGGCTCCCCCCATCACCCTTGTCGGCGCCATCCACATCATCGCCCACCCCTCCGCCGACCTCGAGGACGTCCGCAGCCGCGTTGTCGAATTCCTGCGGGCGCGGGGCATGGACCTCGTGGTGCAGGTCGAGCGGGACGCCGGCGTCGGCGTCGGTAGCGGTGGTGCTGGCAGCGGGAGTCCGTCGATGAGGGTCGCTTGAGGATCTAGTCTGGGGATGGATGGGGGGTTTCGCCTCAAGGTCGGGGGTTGGAAGACGTCGTTGTGGATTCGAGGAGCGCGATGGAAGAAGGAGGACTCGAATCGTTCCGGTGGTAGGAGAAATGCGGACGTCGTTATGCTTCAGCGTCATCATTAGCATCATCATCATCACCGTTATCATCATCATTATCATATACTTGTTTTTGTTTCCTCTCATAGCGAGCGGCGTCGTGGTATATTAGAACAATGAACAATGAACAAATTCGGGAGAATGACTACCCGAAGGAACAATTCCATGAAAAAAAAAAACATCTTTAAATTCTCTCCCTTTTAATCTCCCTATTCATGCCACTGTACTGGGATCATACTACGAAAGACGTCGACGAAGAAGAGGAAAACTTAAAAAAGGATAGATCTGAATACTTGCTATGCTACGAAAATATCTGAAGAAGAAAAGAAAAACGGAAATGACGGAGATGATTTTTCCGTCGTCGTCGCCGGCGGCACGGCGGTGGAAGAAGAAGGGGAGGATCAAGGAAATGTAACGGAAATCCACCGGACGCACGCTCTGGCTTCGGCTTCGGCTTTGAGGGGGATGGAGCGACCGTTCGTGCGATCGTCGTCATTTGGTCGTTGTGGTGATTTTCGCTCGTCGTCGGTTCGTCGGTGGTGGGCTTCATCGTATCGTATCGTGTCGTCATGATATGATGAGCGAGGAATGTCGAAGTTAGAAGGGAAAAGTAAAGTAAAGGAAGAAGAAACAGAAAAGGGGAAGCAAGAAGTAGAAAGGACGGGGGAAGAGCAAGCTCGTCAAGGAAAGGAAAGCAAACAAGAAAAACCCTCGAACAGCGCGAGAGGATCAACGGGAAACTCAAAATCAAGCTCATCAGGATCGTCATACCGCAGACACACACTCTCTCGCGCTCTCTCACAGCATCATCCAACTCACCCCCAACCACACCGCCACCGCCGCCAGCCCCGCCAGCAGAACGCAACCCCCAAGCAGAACCGCGCTCACCGCACTCGCCGCTCCAATCCCCAGCACGGCGCCGGGCCCCGCCGCACTGCCGACCAGAACAGCCGCGAGCAGCACCAAGCCGACGGCCGCGACGATCCTGCGCCACGAGAATCCGATCTCGAAGACCAAGCCCTCCTGCGCGAAACGGTCTTGGCCCTCGACGTCGGCGTCCGCGGCCGCGTCGTCCGGGTCGGGGTCGCAGCCGTCGTTGTGGGGCGGCACGATCCGCAGGGTCGGCATGTTGGCGATGCGGCGCGCCCATTGCACGTGGGTGGTGTGGTCGCGGCCGAGGGCCGGGTCGCGGAAGAGGGCGAGGAGGGTGGAAGCGGTTTGGTCTTTGGTCGTCGGGGGGGAGGATGGGTCGTCGGAGAGGATGGGGAAGGTTGATGCGGTGGGGCTGGGGCTGCTGCTGCTGCCGCTGTCGCCGTTGGCGCTGGTGGGAAACGTCGGGGAGAGGATCTCGAGTTTGCTGCTGCTGTAGCAGCTGTAGAGATCGCAGGAGCTACGGCTCGGCCGGGCGAAGTCTTGGGGGCCTCGGCCTTGGACGGTTATACGCTGGAGAGAGCGGGCGGAACAGGTGCGCCAGAGTGAGCCGCCGCGGAGGTGGGTGTAGCTTTCGCGGAGCTGAAGGAAGAAGACTTCGTCGTCGAAGGGAGGGGGAGGAGCCCGTCGGGATGTGGAAGAAGTGTTGCTGTGTGGTGATGAGGAAGTTTTTGATGTAGCAGCATCGATGTGACGGGACCATAGTGCCTTCTCGTGATCTGCTTTCGAGCGACGACTCGACGTTGCTGGAATAGGCAATGTTGCGGTCTTCGATTTGGATCGAACGCTTGAGCGGGGAGGTGCATACAGTCGTGGACTGTCGCCGATACTGGTGCCGTTTGATTTGACCTCACTATCACCGCTAGCACGCAGGCTCAACATGAGCACACTCTCAGAATTGAGATATGATGGCGCCGAAGCAAGAGGTGTTGACGGGCAGGACTTCTTTGCTGGAGATCCTGAATACATGTTCTGTACAGTCGATCGAAGTGCAGCTGCCAGACGACTGGGCCGGAACGAGCTCAAGAAATTAGTGACGGGAGCTGGTTTCTTCGTGCTTTGGGACTGGTTGCGCTGTATCTTCTTGGCTCTAGAAGATGTAGGAGATGAGATACCGAGACCCGACGACAGTGACAGTGATGTCGGCCATCGGGTAGTCCTTGTGGAAGGACTGCCTTGCTCGATATCAAACAGTACATCCGCCTTGTCGAGGTTGGTATCTTGAAAATAGTCGAGAGTCTGCGAATGTCTCCAAGGCGAAGCGAGCGTGGCAGGAGGAGATGTAGGCAATTTGCAGTCCTGAATGTCCACCGAGAAGGCAGAGCTTGTCGGCGATGGCTCGTCATAGAACGTCTTTGGCTGATCAATGATGTATTGTGATACAACACGACCATTGTCGAACTTCGAATCTCGTCTTGAGGCTGCCATTGTTGAAGCACTTGGCGAAGTTCTTGAACAATCGTGAAGATCGATCGTTTCGAAATCGCTTCTTGGCCGCTCGCACGTGTTGCTCATGCTGAACGATAACTACCAGATCGTTCTCGTGGAGGAAGTTTGAAGAGAAACGGAAACGGTTGTGAATGGCAAAACGGTCCGTTCGAGCAGAACCACAAACATATAATAATGGTTTTCGTCGCTTCTGCTTCCCCTGCGTATGAGCCAAGTGAGGAATTAGGGGTTCCACTGGATTCATGTCAGTCAAATCCAGTGATGTGTGCTATCCCATGCAGATGCCATGCTTTACCAGAGCATTCGATCTCGCCAGGAATTCTTATTTTGGTAGCCTTCAGCACAAGATCTAGTCCTCTGTTGCTTGGTTGAGGTCGATTATCTTAACAATGTGGACTTTGGGGGCTGTGCCTGCAGCACGGAACCATGGTTGATTCTGATCATTCCGACAACCGCGAAACGAAGAAGGGGCGTAGAAAGGACACCATCTCGAAGTCGGAAGACAACACGGATCGTGGATCCAGATCCTAATCGAGAATCTCAGGACAGGGTGGACCTGGCGAGCAAACATTTGGTTCGAGATCCGCGGGAGATGCTCCGAGGGGCATGATCCGAACAATCATCACTACTACAGTGAATGCTGCTCAATCAGTATATTGACCTCCACAATAAAAGCAGACACTGCAAGTCGCGTACAAAGCGATTGCAAGCAGGTTCATCGATGGCGATGATGCAGCGGAAGAATCGGGATCTACTTTTCGTGATGTGCTATGTTCTCGATGGCCAGTCTGATTCCCGATGTGGTTTTCGAGAACTTCCGGGTTGGTCGGGGTTGAACCCGGTCGTGCGGTGCTCGCTGTCAAAGTGTGGTCGTCCGCTTGCGCACCTGCGTCCAAATCCGGGTTTTGCGATAAATCCGGCTGCAGCGGAACTTCTCCCGGTCGCCGTACCTGCGTTTGACACGGCCTTTGGGATAATTCAAATATAGCTTCATCACTGAGGTATTTCAATCCGCAGAGACCGCAGGATTTTGTCATGGATGATTGCGCTTGTTGTGTTTGTTGCATCGCTAGAAAGGTTAATGCACAACGAGGATAGTGATGGACTTGTTGTGGATTGCTGCAACGGGCCCATTTGAGGCTCTCGAATTGGATCGGAGTATTGCATGTCTCGCAATGTTCTGAGCTTGACAATGACTCATTCCCAGAAATACCTGGGTCAATCACATTACTATTGGGCTGTGTGTCGATACGAGCTTGTTCTTGTTGCTGCATCATATTCAGTTTGTGTGAGATTATTCCGTAAATGTTCCGAATCTTCCAACCGAGCGGGTCCTCTTCCGAGATGACTTCAGCAAGGTTTACACGATTGGGAATAGCCAAAACAGACTCTACAAGGATCCCGATCATTTCCGCGTCGAGATTGCTCTGACGTCCTCCGTTGTCCGCAAACGGCTGCTGGCCAGTCTGGCTGCTAATGACCAAGCGGCTGATTCTCGCCGCTCGTAATCTCCTGATATTGGACACGAGGAGAAGATTATTCTGCAGATGCTCACGGATGCTCAAATGTTTTCCAATCAATGGGTCATTCGGACCGATAGCATCTTGAGATTGTTCCACTGTAACAGACTCTGGCATCGCATCTTCGATGTTTCGGATGATGTTGTCAAGATCCCTTTCCGCCATATTTGTGTCGTCTTCTCTGAGGTTCAGGCTCCTTGCGAGCGCGAAAACCAACGTTTCGGTCGGAACCTGTCTCTCACGATAAATTTTCATTTTTCTCAATGGTAGTAGAAGGCCCTTGGCAGGTTTGGCTTCCCGTGTGATGTTCACAACTGTGACCTGCTCTGCCCCAATGGCGTAGGCTAAAGATTCTGAAGGGTGAAAGGTGAAACATGCGGCGATGTAATCATCGAACGGCGAGCTGGCGATTCCCCATACGCGTTCTTGCACGCCTGTAGCGTTGTCATACTGCGAAAGCTTGTCCAATTCCTCCCTGCTTAGACGTGGATGGCCTGAGCCATGCTCGGTGCTATGAGCCTCTCGGCTTTCGAGGAGTTCCTTTCGCCAGTAGACGTCGGAATCTGCTGACATCTCCTTGCCATGGGCAGTCATCTTGAGGCTTGCTGTTTCAGAGGATAAAGTGGACACATGTGAGCTCAAATTTATTTGCAAGCTAGTTTCGGCATCGCCATTGGGCACTTTTGAGGTGAAGGCCAGGCCAGAGATGGGATCCCACCGATCGTCTAGATGATGGCTTGAGCTCGAGGGTGGAGCATTACTGTAGCGAACCTGGTGCACAATATTGTCGCCAAAGACAATCAGACTGTCACAAAGATCGAGACTCGTGAATGCGAGCGGAGCAGTGAGATTTGAGTTTTCCGCTAGGAGGGCTTCTGGTTGTACATAAACCCCCGCTGGCTGTATCGTGATGTGGTTGTTTAGCTCTGAGATCTCCAATCTGACTTTGAAAAGCCTGCCCTTCATCAGGTAGGCCAAGGTCGAAGTGTCGTCAGGATTCCAGCTTGACCAAGCAATGTGGTCAGCAACGAGTTTCCACCCTCCGTTCTTTCCTTGATCTTGGTCGGCATCAGCCATTTCCACGTCTCCGTCAGACGTAGTATCAAAATGACCACAAACCGTGGCCCGCCACTCATTATTTGTACGCCATATTTCTCTCATCGGGGTGCTGATCTGCAAGAAGAGAATGTGACCACCGTGTGTCGACACTGCGACGAAATGACGACCTGAATTATCTGATTTGTTGTTTGCTGGATACCATGGAGCACTCCAAGCAAACGCCTGTATTCGCTGCACAACTTGTATGTTGGTCACTTTCCGTTTTCGGTAGAAATCTTTGACAGCATGGTTGACAATTATTTGTCGCGTCCACTGTATGCTCGGATATGGCTTCCCATCAGCTGCCCAAATCGATACAACATGATTCGTGGTCAAGATGGCAAGAATACATGCACCGTACTTCCCGGGGCCGATGTGTGACCATGCTGCAGCATGTGCCGTATTGATAGACAGCTCTTCGCCCGGCGACCAGTGTACGTCTGGCAAAGGCAGACATCGTGGAATCTCTGCCGTCGTGAAGCCATTGATCTTGATGATTGTCGTATTCCAAAAACTTCCGCTGGAATTATGGTCCTTGCTCAGTCGTGGTGTCAAGATAGCGATCGATTCACCACCAAGTACCGCGATGCGGTTGTCGGCTGACCATTGAACTGCGTCCAGGGTCGTTGGCCAAAACGGGAGTGTGATCTTGCTGGCCATGGCGATGTCCTGTCAATTAATATATTGTGAGCGGAGATTTGGCCTACATGATCCTCGCTCTCAAGGTGGAGATTCGATGGCGGTCGATTTTGCACGACTCCGCCGGCGCGAAACCACTTGACAAGTGAAGTTGCTCTAGGATCGAAAGGTCTATCACTACGTGCTTCAACGGTTTGAATGGAAGTCTGAATTCTGCACGTAAAAACATTCTTTTATCACCGCAAAGACACAATCGAAATGACCGAGAAGATCTCCTGACAACTAGGTCTCCATTATGCCACTAGAAAACTCAATACTCACGGCGAATTGCAGTTGCATCAATCATGATAATGGGAATAAACATCGAGTTCTAAGTTGTTTTCAATGTCGACGAAGGCACATCTTAGGGTTGACATCTCGAGATTTTTAACGCCTCAGGCGCAGAAAACAGCTCGAGGCAATCGATCATATTCGCTTCCTCACGTCAAGAAAGCGGTACAGGCGTTGTTGCGATCACCTACATCGCAGTTGGATCAGACAAAATGGTTCTCTCCTTTGTGTTGATACAGAACCGGCAGTAAGAATTGTTCAGCTGAACGACAAATCCCAATGTGTGCTCAAGCTGACGCAGCCACCCCATAGAGGCAAGACCCGCCTGGCGAAATGGTATAGCCCGTATACCGACGATGAGAAGATCAAGTTGAAGGGAGAGGTGCACCGACTGGTGGCCCCGCGTGATCAGAAGCATCAATCGAACTTTGTCGAATTCCGAGGTGCATCAAAAGTCGTCTACCGCCGCTACGCCGGCCTCTTCTTTTGCGCCTGTATCGATGCGAACGACAACGAACTCGCCTACCTAGAGGCCATACACTTCTTCGTAGAGGTACTCGATCAGTTCTTTGGGAACGTCTGCGAACTGGATTTGGTCTTCAACTTTTACAAGGTGGGTCGTCAAGCGAGCGGGAGCAGGGGTGTGGGAAAGTGATATGCCGGACAGGGCTGACGTTACATCTGCTCAGGTGTATGCCATACTCGACGAAGTGTTCCTGGCAGGAGAGATTCAAGAGGCCTCGAAACAGGTTGTTTTGACACGACTAGAGCATCTAGACAAATTGGAATGAGGAGGAGCTTAAGGGAGCTGATAGGAGACCCGGACAAGCCACACAATCCACCCGGATTGGTGATCCTCAAGATGCACGCCGCGTAAATGGACAGCACCAAACGGCATTGCGAAGTTCTGTCTTTTGTCGGCGGTGGAAAAGCCTACGGAAGCTGAACCAAGCAAGAAGGCATCGAATGAGCCCCGCGACATGCAAGGCTTAAGGTTTGACTTGACGCTGTCCGCGTGTTGCATACCCTTCCATGATAATGCATGTTCTCAAACTCTTGAGGACGCCGATAAAGCTGGAAGCGAGGCAATTAAGGGCTTTTAGGTCATGAGCTCTGCTCCACCACAACTGTTCTGGTCATGGCGGCAGCTTGGTCCTGCGATTGATGCCGCATGTCTATCACATGCGCGACTAGAGATCTCCGCAAAGTTGCTCGACCGACATCAGGACTTGCCGCCCTCCCTACGATTACTCTGCCGGCTCGAGCAATCAACATGAAAATCTCAGCTGTCCGTTCCTGCCACGTCTGGTACACACTACACGTCAGGGCAGAAATGGTTGAATGGCCTTGTGAAGTGCCTATGGATGAGGCGGAACATTGTACCCATCGATCACAGAGATCCCAAATTTAGCAAGACATTGTTGGAAACTACCATAGGGCACGATGTTTCGTACTTGCTTTCAGACGAGCAGGCTACAGCTGCACCTGCGCAAACGAGCGAACATTAGACAGCAACTGCAGCAGGGCTACGAAATGAACATTCTGTTTATCTTTAATGACATCCTTTCAAATTCTCTTCGCTACTTTCCACGACCTCGCCGACACGGCCCTCTGCTCTATCCTGTCTCCTTTCCGTCATCTTAAGCGCTACATTTCCCTCGTCATCCTCTCAGCGACATCGCTACTATGCAGCTCTCTACTGCAATCATCCTCACCTTGACCGCTTCTCACCTATCGAACGCCTTTCTTCTCCGTAACGACCGGCAGATTTCTGCGTTGTCTCCACGCTCAGCGCCTCTCATATTTCGAGCTGATGCCAACCCACCCTTGCCTCGGAATGAGGTTTGCTTCTACTTGACAGATGGCCTAAACTGGACGGGTACTGGTCATAACATGTGCGGCCAAACCGGCATTTGCAGTGAGTCTTGTGACCTGTCGTCGGAAGCTCATCCGCTGACATGGCCTCTGCATTATAAGACCCGTCCCTTCCTGCTCCGCTGTCCTCGAATGTAGCTTCCGCTGGGCCATCGGCCAATCAGACCTGCTTCCTATACACCGGTGAAAATTGTACTGGCAATTCTTCTGCACCGATCGTGTATCCAGGATATCCCGACCTCAACACCGACATCGCTTTCAATGGCTCTACGGTACAAAGCTGGCGGTGCTAGAAGCATTGCTCGATCTCAGACGAAGGATCAGACAGTAGTAGGGGGCCCTCAAGTGCAGCCACTCCGCCAGCACCAGCGCTCCAAGCCGCGAATAATCCTCCGCCTCTGCCTGTCACCGTCACCGTTACTATCACGCAAATGCAGGCCCAAACAGCAAATGCTGCTGCAAACCCAGCGACAGGTGCCACCATCACACTGACAGACACGGTCACTTCCACTGCGACATTGACGTTTACCACGACGGTCACAAACGGACCTATCCCTACTCCTTCGAATGCTGCTGCACCTACCGGCTCTGTCAACGTGTCCCCGCCGCCTGCAAGCTCGCCTCTTGGTAACAATGCAGGTGAAGCTGCTCCAATCGCGTCCTCAGGACCAAGTGCCGCGCTGAATCCGGCAGTCGCCTCGGGATCTCCGTCGGCGTCCGTTCCTTTGGCGCAACAGTCGAGCGTTGCTTCTTCACCAGCTACACCAGGTCAGCCAGCGAACGCCACGAGCGTTCCTGCTGCGACAAACCCTGCTGCACCCAATCCCGCTGCACCCAATCCTGCTGCGACGAACCCTGCTGCGACAAATCCTGCTCCGCTCAACCCTGCTCTCTCTGGCTCCGCTCCGACTGGCTCCGCTCCAACTAGCTCCGCTTCATTAGAGGCAACCACTGTTGCAGATCCGTTGACTTTGAATGCTGCTACACAAGGCAACGCGCCTCCGACCGGGACATCAATCAATTCGTTCACCAACAACCCTGGCCTGACAGGTGGCTCTTCACCAGGGCTTCAACCTTCGCCGACTGCTCAGACTGATTCTTCGCCCGGCCAATCAGGACCTGAAACAACTAGCGGCACTGTACCCCCGTTCCCAGCTGGAAATTTCTCGCAGCCGACCGGCTTTCAGAACGCTACTTTTCCCAATGGGAGCTCGACGCAGACGTCTGGACCTAACACAGCAGTGAGCCCAACAGGACCATCATCGCCATCTTCTGGTTCATCAAATGGTACAGGTGGGTACACAGGCCTTGGTCCAGGAGGCCTTCCCCTTCAGCGCATTCCAGCCGATGGCAGTGATGGCGCGAGTCTAGGGGGCGTTCAGACGGGTTCTGATCAACTTTCCACGACGACGAGACTTTCTCCTGGCATTGAGACTGCATTTCCCAACGTTTCCAGCACGGCAGCTACTGGCACTGGCAGTGCAGTCGGGGCTAGCGGACCATCGGCTCAATCGTTATCGGGCGATGATTTGCAGGGAAGTGGCACAGGCGCAACTGGTCAGACGGGAACCGCGATCGCAATATCGCCTCCATCAGCAAATTCCGTGGGCCCTTCATCGGTGGGAACCTCCAGCGGCAGCGGTCAAGATGCTGGCGAAAGTGCATCGAGTCTAGTTCTAGGCACAGCCTCTGCTGGTACAGCTACATCTCCTAGCGGTTCGAGCGCTGCGATTGATTCTGGAGCCACGGCCACTGCGACGAACACAGCCACGTCTCCTGGTGGTTCGAGCACCTCGATCGATCCAGGACTCACGGCCTTTGCGGTAGATACAGCCATGGGAGCCGTGGTTGACACTACAGGTACCACTATCGCAAGCGTCTCAACCCCGGCAAGCGCACACGGTAGCTCATCTGCATCAGGATCGGTCGGAGCAGGCGCATCGACAGCATCTGCTTCAAACGGATTGAACACCCCCGATGCATCTGCTACTATGATTATATCCGCTGCGGCCGGCACCAATAGTGCATCTGGCGCTTCAGTTTCACCTGGTGTCGCATCTGCAATTCCTGGGTCATCGGGGACTGGGACGTCCGGCAATATCGTGAGCGCATCGAGTGCCTCCGCTACACCAGCATTGGCCATCAGTGTCGATTTGAGCATCCCTGGCGCCGTCACGTTCACGCCTGGCGTCAATCCCGGTTCAACTCCTGGAGTGCCAGTCACCTCTGCACCAACCAATGTCGCTCCCGGCGTCGTTCCCGGTGGTGTTGGTACTGCAAGCGCTTCAAATGCGGCGGCAAGTGGCTCAGCATCTTCGGGTGCTGGTCTTCCAGCGGTCATTCCATCAGGAGGCATCGGCATCGGTGCTGGTGCGACCGTTGGTACGAGCGATGGACCTGGTCTGACCGCAACCGTCAATATCGGCAATCCTAGTTCTTCAGCTACAAGTTTACCAGGCGGTGTTGGAATTGACGTTGGAGCCACCGTCACTGTCAATGCAGAGACGGTAGTGGCCGCTGTCACCAGCGTCGCCAGCCCAGTAGTCAGCATCCTTCCTGTATCGCTCCCTACTCGAATTGCAGTATCTGCCGACCTCGGCGTCACGGCTGCTCTGCCAGCGGTCACCCGACTTCCTCAACTTCTGCCACAAGCGCCTGCTTCCCCAGAGACCATCATCATCATCTCCACGGTCGCTAACCCACCTTCCATTATCACCATCACGACTATTGCCGCGGCTGCGGCTCCCTCGACCGTCACACTACCAGGTCAAGCGGCCCCTGCTGCGCCCACGACTGCTGCTCCCCCAGCAGGATCGGCTGCGGCGGCGGCTGCGATGCCTCTCACATTGACGACAATGACAAGCACAATCCGATCACGCCAGGGTTTGATTCCGGCGATCATCAGCGTGGCGACAAGTTTGGTGCGCCAGGAGGTCAATCCGCTTCTGCCTTCAGGGCTGAACAGGATCTTAGGAACTTGAGCGAAGATTCTCGTTGAGGAAAAGGCGGAGTTGCCGACATCATTGGGCCATGAATCATACTGTAATCCCACGATGGCTTGTGTCCTAGGAGGGTTTGTTTACTTTCCCGACAGTCATGTACATAGCGTGATCACCTAATCGAAACGTTTCCTTTATTACAACTGAATTTTTTTCGTTGGATCAGCGCGAAAATACGGTTGGTAAGGCAGGATCCGAGTGTTGCATCGGGCATACTTCGGTGTGAATGGCCCCGGACGGTCACCCGAATTTGGCGGGGCAGTGTGACAATTCGGCGGGGCCGATAGGTTGCAACGTCATGGTTCTGGGCGGGAATATCGGCTGAACATTCATTTTCAACATTGCGACTTGCTCGCTGACATATCAACACCACAAATTTCTGTATATAAGGAAAAGCGAATCTACGCTCAGGGCATTGAAGCGTATGATCAAGAATCACGGAATCCTCCCTTCCAACAAGTAATCAAAATGACCATCACATACGGCATCATCGGCACCAACTGGATCACCACCTCCTGGATCCTCTCCGCCGCCAAAACCAAACAATGGACTCTAGGAGCCGTCTACTCCCGCACTCTCTCCCAAGCCAAAGACTTCGGCCAGAAGCACAACTGTAACACTTCCTACGACACTCTCGACGCCCTTGCCGCCGACTCCTCCCTCCAGGCAATCTACATCGCCAGCCCAAACAGCCTGCACTACGCCCACGCGACGCAAATGCTCGAGGCCGGCAAACACGTCATCCTTGAGAAGCCCGCGACTTCCACGCCCCGCGAGCTGGACGCGTTGTTCGCGCTGGCGGCGCGGAAAGGCGTCTACCTCATCGAAGCATACCGACATATCCAGGAGGCGAATTTCAAAAGATTGCGATCGCAACTCGTGGAGGAGCAGCGGCTGGGCAGAATCTACGGCGCGAGCTTCGGGTACGCGTCGTGGAGCAGTCGATATTGGGATGTCCTGACCGGGAGCCAGCCGGTGCCGAACATCTTCTCGCTGGAATTCTCCGGCGGCAGTTTGGTCGATATCGGAGTCTATCCGATTACGTTTGCGGTGGCACTGTTTGGGGCGCCGAGCAAGCAGACGTATGTGCCGTTTATGACGAAGTCGGGCGTTGATGGTGGTGGAGTGGGCATTCTGCATTACGAGGGGTTCGGCGTGCAGATCAATGCGAGCAAAGGGTATCGCAGCGCGGCGCTGTGTGAGATCTATGGCGAGAAGGGGACGTTCACGATCAATGCCGTCTTTGATGTGGAGAAGGTGGAGTTTTGGGACCCCAAAACTAAAGAGACTTCGCTGGTGGAGGTCGGACCCGTGGCGGATTATGATAACGGGAGTGTGAACATGTTGGAGGAGGCACAGGAGTTTGCGAGGATCATCAATGAGAAGGATGAGGCGGCATTGAAGGAGTTGGAGAGGATCTCGAGGATCGTCATCGGCGTGACGTCGGATATGAGGAAACAGGGAGGAGTCATCTATCCTGCTGATAAAGAATGATCGTGGAGCAATGTAAAACAAAATGGAGCGGATTCAAATCAAAATTGAATCAAAAGCTTCTTGAAATTCTTTACTGCTTGCCTCTCCTCAATTTGAACTGTTCTATCCATTCACTCGCCCTCGGCTTCGGCACCACAAAAACTCTCACCAGCCCATCCACAATCTCCACCTTGCCCGTCCCCAAAATCTTCCCAATGGTGAGATTCTTTCCGGCCTTGATCAATCCACCCTGTGCTGTCTCCATATAACATTCCACGCCCTCTGCAGATTTCTCCGATTTGTACTCTCCCTTCTCATCCCAGGGCACAGGGAGGATGTATCCGAGATGCTGTCCAAGCGTTTCCGTCTCCCCAAAAGCCTTGATGAAATCCGTCTGCGCGTGAAGGGGATACAGAAGAAGTAAAGGGAAGTTGAGCGCGGACTTGGCATCGTTCTTATCCGCCAATTTGAGCTCCGCGTCTTCCATCTCAGGCGGACTGTCCGTTTTCCGATTCGGCAAAATCCCTCGTTGATGCAGTGCGAATCGCAATGTGGCAGCTTCGTTTCGCGCGCGTTCCTCGCGTTCCTGACGGGCAGTCTGCACGGCCAGGAGAGCTTTCTCGCGCGTTTGGACTTTAGTCAAACATGTCTTGAGCGCAGCGTTGTCGGGGTCGAATCCCAGGCCGGAAGTGCATGCGTCGGCGGCTTCGGGGAGTTTGTCAAGCACGAGACAAGCCGACGCGGCGCGATACCATGCCTTGACATTCCGGGGGTTGAGTTTCAGTGCAGCTGCACAATCGCGATTACAGGAACCGTAATTTTCTAAAATCATCCGAAGAAAGCGAGAAGACAAAAGATTAGTTTCCCGACGATAGCGTAGTCTCTGCTCAACATCATAAGGGAAAAGGGGCAGTGATACTCATCTCAAGATTGCACAGCGCTCGATTCGCGAGACACGTTTCCTCGAGCGCCTTCTCCTTGGCCTTCTCCGCCTCCTCGTCCTCCACCACAGGAATATTCTTGGGCGCAACAGACATCTGCGCCGCAGCCTCCACCTTCTCATTCGTCGGGACGAGGCGACGTAGAGTCAGGATCCCCTTGGAATAAAACTCCCGCGCATCAGACCAATTCTTCATCCGAGCGGCTTCGTTGCCCTGCTCCTTGAAATTGGCCGCGACTTCGAAGGGCGTTCCCTCGTAGGCCAACGCTTTCAGGGCTTCAATTAGAACGTTTTCTTCGGCGTTGGCTTTTCCATCGGCCGCGATATTGGGTTCGTCGAGAGAGGTCATGAACAGCGGGATGCGGTTCATTTCTGCGACGAGCTCGTCGGCCGTCATGTCGCGGGCGGCTTGCAGGCGCGGTGGCATGGCGGCGGTCATGGCTTCGACGAAGTCGTCAGATTTCTGGCTCGGAGGGACATCTTGCTCGTTTTCTGCCATGATTCCAGATCCAGCAAATATTTTCTATCTGAGAGAAGCTATTTCTTATGGTGGATCGTCTTGTTGTACGACGTCCGCAGATGTTTATTGGTAATAAAAGACGGAGTGGCATTTTTCTGCAAGATGATGTAGCGCGGGGATGTCATAGATTGTAAATTTCACGATAAGATAAGATCTTGCCTCGCAAGCAGCATCATCGTCGTCTCTTGACTTCAAGGTTGATGGAGAGGGACTGTGAGGTAAACATAGCAGACAGATAGTCAAGACAAATATTTAGGAATTAAATTCATAGCTGTATGAAGAAATGAAAGACGAGGGAGATACTTGTCGTGAGAAAGATTCTATATTTGAACATATGATCTCGCGGACGAGAGGAAGCGAGAGAGTAGCGAATAGTAAGTAGTACAGATTTTTAGTGCTTGGCTTGTGAGAGATCTCGCGTAGGTCTAGATGAGTGGTGTATATATGCGGAAGCAGGGGAAATGAGAGAAGGAAAGAACAGGAACTGGGAAGTAAATCGCAATGAAAGGAAAACAGAAACATTGCAAGAGGAAATGGTCTCTCCCATTTCCCCCCTTGTTGAAAAGACCCGCTGCGTTTTATTGAGAGAAATGCCATCCTTCGTGAAGTCAATTAGAGACAGTAAGAAAGAGAGTAAGAAGAGATGAGGGAGCGAGATCGAGAGAGATTACAAAAACAAGATGAGAAAAAAAAGGAAAGGCAACTCGTGGATTCCAAAACTCAGCGTTTCCTGTAGAGTTAGAATCCCTTGAACGGATCCGCCGTTGCAGCAGTGCCATCATCAAATACGAATCCCGACTGCAGGGACTGCATCTGCTGCCCTGCTTGCGCCGCCGTAAGGCCTGTCGTCGTCGTCGGCTGGCGATAACTAGCAGCGACGCCACTGCTGCCCGCCCCACTATCGCCGCGGGTCCTCGCCGTACCGGTCATACTACTTCCGTTCGCAACGCTGGAATTCGAAACGCTGGCGGTCGAACCGGTTTGGTAGCGTAAGCCTGAGGAGGCTTGGTTGAAGGGCATGCCGGCGGGGATGTACAGCATGTTATTATTCTTGCTGCTGCTGCTGGAGGCGATGGCGGGACCGTCGGTATAGCTGCGGGCGACGCCTGGACTGGGAGCGGCGGCACCTCCGCCAAAGAAACCACCCATATGAAAATCTTGGGAGTCGTAGACGTCGACATCGTGGTCGACAAAAGCTTCCATGCGGACGGTGCCGACGGCTTCGAAGAAATTCGGGGCGGTGGGGCTGGTGTTGGAGTTGGAGGCGGATTTGTTGTTGCGGTGGTGACGACTGCTGGAGGTGGTGGTGTGGTGGTCGGAAAGATAGCCCGAGTTGGACGCGGTGGATGCGGCGCCGGAGTAGGCATACGAGGAGGAGTAAGAGGGAGTCATGGTATGGTAGGTCTTGGGAGTGTAAGTTGCCGCGGTGCCAGCGCCGCTGCGGGTGTAGTAGGAGTTTTGATAAGGAGGAGCAGATGAGGCTGGTGCGGTCAGGCCGGCTGATTGCGGGCCATTGGACATCACTGCAGCGCTGGCCTTGGGAATGATGATCGGCGTAGGGGTAGGAGAAGAGAAGTTCCGAATGGAAGATGGCAGGCGAGGATGATAGGCGGATGTGCCAAGAGTGTTGCTGCGCTTGCGTTGGTGTTTGCTAGTGGTGACGTACAAACGCGGCACTGAAGGAGGCTCAGCAGCGACAGATGCTTCGTGATGGCGGTCCGTTGGAATCGCATCCGAAGTTGTAGTGGTGGTCGCGACAGCAATCGGACCCGTCTCCGGGCTTTTCGCTTTGGCTAGGCGGATTGAATCTCGAACGTTCGATCGCCCAAATGAGGGTGACCGGTCTCGGCCAGAAGTGGTAGTCGGCGACGCTAATCCATCATTGCTCTCAGGTGCGGGAGGAGGCTGTAAATGACGAGGTACGATGGCCGGGTTGTTGGAAGAAGGCATAGTAGGGGACATGGGGACACCATGGGGAGCAGTATTGTTGTTTTGCGCCAGGAACGTCAGAGCTGTCATCCAGAGCATGTGCCTTTCGAGATCGATAGCCGTGAATTTGAGCGCACGCTCGGGAGTGAGGATAAGGATCGAGCGAGCAAAGGCCGATCGGAGCTCCGGCTTAGCGGGAAGAGGCGTAGGGTCTTGGACGTCGAGAACAGATTGAATGGCCAATTTCCTCCCCTTTTTCCCGAGCAATGCCTGTCCGCTCGTAGGCTGCTTGTTATCCCACATGATAGTCCTCTCATATGGACTGAGCCAAACCCAACGTTTGTGGCGAGTACCGTGGGCCTGGATATTTAACGTGTTGCTGTTCGTACTGGCACTGCCCATGCTGCCTGTACTGCTACCAGCATGGTGATGTCCAGGAGGAAGCGGCACTGAAACCTCCGCAGAAGAGTCCTCGCCGATTCCGAATGATTTGCGCTTGCGGATGTACTTCCACATCCATTCGCCAACCATGGTCGCTGCGATGGCATCGACGAGGTTTGGCGGCTCCACTTGAGAAGCAGCGGCTGCAGCGGCCGCTGCGCTCGCAGTAACGTGGTTGGTGTGTACAGGTGACATTGGAGTCGTCATCTGAGGACCAAGAATGGTGACTTCCTGCACGGAGAGCGGAGCAGGCACTTCCAGAGTGGATCCGTCGACCAAAGGAATCGGAAGATCCGGGATGGGGAAGTCGGTCGCGATGGGTGGGCTGTCAAATGCCATTGATTGCACAGGCGTGAGGTCGGGAGATCGGAGACGGCGCCGCCGGATCTTGGTGGTTGTGGGAGAGGAGGGGTTCTTACCGCGATTCCCACGAATGATGGCAGCTGACTGGACTTTGCGCAGACCAGCTTGGGCGGCGGTGCTGTAGCGATTGCTTCCACTCCCGGGCGTCGGACTGGATGTGCCATCGCTGAGGGCTGTTGCGATAGTCTTTGAGCTGGATCGAAGTGGGATTGGATACGGAGGCACGGCAGGCACCGACTGAGTGCTGTAGCTGCTCGAAATGGCACTGGCGAAGCTAGGGCTGCGGGATCGGTGGCCTTTCGTATTTGACGTGCTGCCACGTTTGCTGTGCATTTGTGTGCGAGAGGGTGCACGGCTGCTTGAGACAGAGGGGGCGGGCGCAGCACCATACGAGCTGGCAGTTGTGGGTCGCTTGCCATAAGAAGATGTCACGTCATCATGTGCGACCCCATTGGATGCTTCAATGGCCTCCGAAACTCCTGTCGCAGCCGCACGCACCGAGACCGGGTAGTCTCCAGCCACGTCGTCATGAAGATCCAGATCCGCGATCAAGTCATCGTAATCGCTGTTGTTGTTGTCCGACCAGCCCTCTGTATCATCCCCGTGCTGTAACTTCTTATCGAGGGACATTTTGCGAGTCTGTTTGACGCCGTATTGAGCCGAACGGTTGAGCGGTCCATTGCTGACCGCCTCCGGGATCGTAGCTGGGGGAGGCGAAAGGACCGGCCGAGGAAGCGGGAAGGCCTTGAGGGGCATGGCATGTGGTGAGACGACATCCCGGGAGCCCATGCCATCGCGAGTGTTCTCCCTGCTGGACTGTGGAGACTGCACAGTCGGAGAATATTGGAAATCAAAACTCGAAGCCGCTCGGATGGAGATGTTTCTGACCAAGGCCGAAACAGATGCGCGTTTTGATTGAAGCGAGTCCACCAGAGTCGGACTCGGTAGCAAATGAGCGGCCAATCGAGGGACGCGTTTGTCGACGCGAATCTCCTCGGTCTGCATACTCGCGTCCACGCCGGGCCACGGCAGATCGGTCTGGGCCGAGGCATTCTTGGTTCCAGGAGGCAGGACGGCTGGTCGTGGCGAGGATGGCCGCGAGCTCGGAGGATGAATGGCGATTGCAGGTACAAAGGATGCCGGAGAAAGGCTGTCTTGCTTCGGTTTATGGCTACGAATAGTCTCTAGCTCTGCGATGTCAGTCTGGGTGGATGTAGACGTGTATGAAGAATGTGTGATGCGAGCCCTGGGTGAATCCGATGTTGAGATTTCGTCCACCGCAGCTTTGGCGACCGCTGCGGAATCATCGCCTAGCGCAGGAACACTTGCGATATCGTGGCTGTTGCTGGTTGCTTGCGCAGCCACAGCCGCAGGCTTAACAGCGAAAACGTCATCGCCCGAGGCGTCCTCTCGGTAAATTGCAGCCTCGCCGTCATGGCTGGTGATTTCCACTCGCGGCGGAGTCGACGGAGGTGAAGGCTGATACCCGCGATCAACATATTCCGCCTGACGCGCCGGCTCTCGGACCGCCGCAACGATATTCGGCGGAGGCAGAAGTGGTGATGCTGCCGCGGGAGTGAAGGAAGATTTCGTCGGCGACCCTAGACTCGCTGCCGCGGCATTGCGTTTAGGCGTGCTGAAGGGTTCTGCGCGCAGACTCTGCCGTGATTCGATGCCACGTTGGAATTGCTCAACCCGAGCACTCTGTCGAGCGTCGACAATGCGTGGATTGCGGTGATCGATCTCGCGCAATTCAACGTGCCGGGCAGGAGTCGCGAGAGTATATTCGACTTCTTCGTCGATCGCATCGAATTCGTCGTCGAACTCTTCGTCGTCTTCGAGCTCATCAGCCAAGCTGTTTCCTGCGGGACGAATTGGCTCAGGAGTTTCCAGATGTCGTGAGATCATCGAGCCACGGGCATGCCGCGAGCGCGTGCTCACGGCGCTTCCATTCCGTCTGTGATCAGACTTCATGGGTGTCGTAGCCGAGTGGATGCTCGCTGTGTCGCTATCATTGCCCAATGCGCTGTCTTTGAAATGGACTTCCTCCTCCGGCTCTTCAATGTGCACAACGGCCGCAGCGGCGCTTTGTTGAGCGGTCATTTCGTCCACAAATGCTCGCAGCCGGCTTTCCGTGACATGCAGACGGCGCTCGAGCTGTCGCCGCTCGCTGTCAAATGCTTCCTTCTCATTCTCCCAGATGGTCTGTGTCCGCGCGGCGTCCTCATCCTGTTGTCGCACCTTCTTCTGCAACGCTTCCAACTTTGTCCGGAGATCCTCGTTGACCGCGTGCACCTCATCTCGATCCTTGATCAGGTCTTCCACGGCCTCAAGAGTGCCCTGTTCCATCTGCTGAACGGCCTGTTTCGCCTTACGAACCTCTCGAGTGCTATCGGAGTATTTCTTTGCAAGGACCTCATTTTCGTTCTTGGCGCTGGAGAGGGATGATTCGAGGTTCTCCACCAGGTTGTTTTTGGAGTCGAGCTCCCGTCGGAGCGTCAGGATCTCCGAGACAAGTGACGCGTGGAGGGTAGGTGTGAATCGTCGAGGATCCACCACCGGTGTCCGCAGACCATCCTGGCTTTTTTCCTGATTTGCCGACGTGTCGATCGGGAGAGGTGGGGGTGAGGCTGATTGCTCGCGTGAAGAATCACCGAGTGTCGCGCGAGAGGAGCGCTTGGAACGGATATAACTCGGAGTCTCGTAAGGAGTATCGGCCGGTGCTGGGAGGCCTTTGTTGCTGGCCAGGTTTGAAAAATCGGAAAAGTAGTCGGCCATGGTCTTCGGCCGTCAAATGAGTGTGATGGTGTCTATTTCATGTGCTCGTAATGTGCAGTAGGGTCACTTCGTGGCGTAGAGTCGTCGCTCGAATGCGTGGTGATCTTTCGCGCGTCTATCCCACACGCAAGTATCGTCGCAAGATGACTTTCAGTCGCTCCAAACCCGCTCTCTTCCTCTTGTAACAGACAGGTCCAGACAGGGTTGGATCTGCAATCCGAAGATCATCAGTATGCCATGCAGGTGAAGAGAAAGGTATGATGCGAAGCGCGATCGGGAGATCATCCGTGAAGACAGGGATCGAGAGCACGAGAGTGAAGGCTTTCCCGCCCACAGGCACACATACCACCTATGACCAGCGCGCCGCCAGCATTACGTCGACCGTGATTATTCTCGTTCTTGCGGGACAGCAGGATGAAAGAATGGTAGAACAGGTGGAAGCAAAAGGAGAGGCGTTCGGTTCGCTAACGGCGTCAAGCCCCTCGGCAGGTCGACCACAGAGAAAGATGGTAGGGAAAGACAAGTGCGCAGAAGGACAAGCCGTTTCGATCGATCAACGAGGGCGTGAGGCGTAAAGGAGGAAACACTCCGGCGGACACACGCATCAAACAGTCGCGATGTATTGAGGATGCAGATAGAGAGGTAGGACAGCTAGGAAGACAGGCCACCACTTGTGTATCTCTCTCGTCCTCGCTAGAAAATGACTAATTAGATCATTCCACAGCACCGATGATACATACAGCGAGTGTTATTCTATTCATCTCATAAGCTTCCCGAACTGCATGAACCCACGCAACATTCATACAACTCCTCGTGGCCAGGGACACTCGGGCACCACGCCAGGCATCACGCCAGGGCAGCGGCGGACGGCGGACGGCGGGCAGGTGAGGAGTGGTCGAGAGATGACCGGCCACCAACCAGATACAGAGCCGTCCATTCTCATCCTCGCCCAAGGTTTGCCTGGCGCGCCTTAGTTTCCAGGGCCGCATTTTTTCCTCTCGGCAGGGAAACGCGAAATACTGATGGCGTGGCGGCGGAAAACAGGACAGGCACGAATTTTGTCCAGACGACGTCGACAAAAAGGGGGTGCGGCGCCCCGAGGTGCGGCCCGTGTTTCAGCGACCGCAGCCACCATCAGGTCCGTCACCAATTGTTTGTTCATACCTGTCCAGCGGATCGGAGCGCACAGCACACACGGCAGGGGACTGTCTAGGATGGACTGTACTGTCGGGACATTTGTGTGTGTGTGTGCCAGTCCGTCGCGTCATGAATGGTCGTTTTACTACTCGACGCGAAGGAGTCGGGAATATATGTGGCGTGCGATACCCCATCCAGCAGGCCTTCCCAAGCTCGCTATCAAGGATCGTGAAACACACGAAAGATACCGAGGGAAGGATTTCGCTCTGATACAAAATGCGCACCAACAAAGCGGACAAAGGGATGTATGGAGCAAGGTCCCATGCATGGATGATGACACAGCAGCAGTAGTTCGAAACCTCAACCCCGGCAGAACGCCGTTCGGGGAAAGGAAAACCTCATCGCACACTCTGGGGTTGTATGCAAGGCGAGAATCCGGTACGCTGTCCGTCAGCGATGCAGTTGCGCCCACTAGTATCTGCGGTACCAGACTCGCACGCGATTTGTTCGGAAAGAGAGGTCGAAATCTACACATGCATCGTAGGCGCACCGCGCTGCATCGCGAGAGGACAGAAGTGTCCGTCGTACAATTTTCAATGCACGATATTTCCTGTCGGCAATTGACATGTGGCCCTCCCAAAGGTGCCGTACAGTACTTCCCCCCTGCCGAGCGATCCCCATTCTGTGGGTCCACACTACTCCATATTCCGAGAGGGTAGGCTAGCAGGAACGTTCTACACACCCAGATAGGCGAAGCAAAAGAAATCACACAGTCCAGCGTTATGGAGAGGTTCAGTGTACGGAATGGATGTTATCATCGGCGTCAGCATCAGCTGATGTAGACAGATGCCTCATGATGCAAGGGGGACGACTGAGTAACGCAAAAGGCGTAGATATTGACAGGGTAGTGCAGCAATATTAGGATGCATTACACTAGGTAGTGTAATAGCACACTGCAGCGTCACACCTGCGTACAGGCAATATAGCGCTGAACTGTATTGTTACATGGGACAAAAGAAAACACCTCCGACTTTTGCTATCAAATTGATCAGCGATGCATGGTCGGCATTGCATCGTCCAGTACTCTGCATGCTACCCGAATGCATGCACTCCACCTACCCACCATAGATAACATTTCAGCGCCATTTGAGGAGACGCTACATTGAAGTCAGAGAGAGCCTTATTACGGCCACCTGCCCATCATGCTCAGCATCATCGCCAGGATCACCGTGGCCATATATGGATCATACAGTATCATCCCTCTCACCATTTCCATCCATCACTATGGTCATTAATTCATCGTTGACCCTGAGTCTTGCATCACTAAACTCTCCGTCATCTCGTCAATCCAAATCTCGCGATGAAATTCCCAACGGGCCTGCCTAAGTGCCCGCGGCGGGAAATTCCATGTTCAAATCTCCAGAGCGTCCGGGGTATCGCATCAAGTGAGATATTGATAATATTTCAGCTCCGCCTATCAAGAAATCCATGTGCCTATCATGCATGATGCATTACCAAAATGAAAGACCGTTGGGAGAGAAACTCCTATTCGCCATTGAATTACTGGGATGATGCTCGATTTCTGTACAGTACTCGTGCATTCCCGGCCTGCGAAAAGTGTAAATGAAATGCGGCTCGTTTGCGAGGGAGACGAGATCGTCATTGGACGATGCGCAACTCTCCCCTTTTGGAATTCTTAATTCCTGGACTCGGCATGTCTTTCTCGTCTCATCACTACATCACGCAGCTTGGAGGAAGGAGTATCGAAAGCGCGACCGTTGCCGTTAGATGACAGGGTCTAGACGTTTCTTTTTTTTCTCTCCCATTCCTCGGCGAATTCGTGACTCGATGATGACGATGGCGGCCACGGCATCGTCGTCCCGTGAAGCTGTGCCGACGGTGTGGTGACGGCTTCCTTGTGAGCATTCTGGCGGATCTCTGATGAAGCCACTACAGTCTGCGAGGAGCACCGATGTTCTCAAGTCTAAGTATTGCGTTGGCTGCTGAGGGAGTGAGCACAACGTCTTTGCGGAGATCCAAGAAGCGTCGTGACCTACACTTGCTAGATTAAGGACGATGTTTCATTCCCATCAATTTTGTGAAGACTCTCTTCACTGAAGCCTGTTCCCATCAGCTTCCTGCTTGACCGAATCGACCTCGTCCTTCTCCATAGCCACCAGCTCTCCACCATCCACGTCTCCCATCCCAGTCAATGGCCCGTTCGCGTTCCCCTTGAAGCCCACCGCCCACTTCGGCCTCCCATCAACATCAAACTCCGCCCACTCGAAAAAGCCACAACTCTTCTTGCCCGGCGTAGAATCCGCATGACACATCCAAACATATCTGCCACGGGAGACCGCGCGCTTCTGGACACATCTCAAAATGGTAGGCAGATGACATCGACATCGCGGCGTGAGTCGCGGGTGGAGATCCGCGCGGTAATGGCGGTAGGTCACGTTGAGGCGCTTCGTCCCGGCGATGGGGTGGGGCGTGATGGTCGGGGTGGCGGCGACAGAGTGCTTGTAGGATTCCTGCATGGAAGCGTGCATGATCAGGAGGGAATTGTGCGGGAGGTGGATGGCGATTTGGCCTTGTTCGTCACCGTGGGTCGGTTCGTTCTTGTTGTCGCCTGGGGTGGACGACTCGGGGGGGAGGATCTTGCGGATGCGGAACTCTCGTGCGACGCCGAGGGAGAGGCTTCCGATGATGGGGCGAGGACCCAAATAAGTCAACTGGTCCGTATGCCAGCCCACATGCTCTTTGCCGCCTGAATAACAATTGACGAAGCTGGCGTTGGGAGTCCAGGGGTCGGGGGATTGGAATTTGAGCTTTTGTCCGAGAGGTTGGTAGTCACGGGTGCGTCGTTGAATCTCTTCGTTGACTTTGGCTTGGACCTTGGTCGAGAGCTTGAGCATCCACGGCGTGCTCTGTCGGACATTGGCTTCGTAACCGTCGCCGCCACCCCAGAGATACTCTTTCTTTTGCTCATCGACCTCCTCGAGACTGTCGACGTAGAAACGATACGTGTGCGGGCTTTGAACCGTCCTCTCGAACATTTGGAAATTGCTCCTGTGGAAACTAGTCGACTCTTGTAGCAACTCCTTCAGCAATGCGTCCGCCTCATCGTTGGTGAGGAAGTTGTGGATCATCGTGCACGGAGTGTTCGCTTCGATATCCTCGGGAGAGTAAAGATGCAGCGTCTTCCCTTTTTTCGTCAACGCCTTCGTATTGCTTCGCTGAACGCCCTGAACAGCGCCATCCTTCTTCGCATAGGCATGCAATGAGGCTTGGTATCCAAGAGCAGCGCCGCGTTTGCGCTTCAAGTCGGTGCCGGATGAAGAGCCAGAGATGGCTTTGGAGACTTTGGCAATATCACCATCATAAGCCAAGAGGTAGTCCAGGAGAACGTCTTGACTGAGATCTGAATGGAGGGACGCTAGGATGGCAAGCTTGAATTCTGTTGATTCTGTATTGTCGTCGATATCAAGAGCTGGTGGCACAACAGATTGGGATTGCTCGGTGGCGACCTTGGATCGTTTCGAACTCTGCTGACAGTCTCGGAATTGATCAGATTCATCCATTTTGGAAGTCTGCTTCTCGAATCGACATGGTCCTTGACGAGTAGAAGGCGATTGGATAGATTTGTTTACGAGCGTGTCCTGGGACAGATTTTCACGTTCCAACTGATGAGCTCTGCAGTTGTCGAGACCCCGGATTTTTGAAAAGGCGAATTTCCCAAACTGCGCAAAGCCCGCCTGATAATGATTCGAGATGCGTGATCATCGCAGGAAAGACCATGCGAGTGTATACTGAATATATCGATATACTGGATGATATCTGCGGACGTGTGGTTGAGAGGCCGGCTCCATTACGCTCATCACGTTCTGGAGTGATTTCGACTGTCGTTACAGAGGAGGTTTTCGCTCTCGATCTGCTATTTATTATAGATTATAGGATACAGCGCGATGCCGGCAAAACTGCGCCCGATTGAAGCATCCCCTGCAGGCTATTCCGGGCGCAGACTCGCCAGCCGCAGTCACCTCTTCCCGCCCGTCGCTCCTCTTCGCCTACTTGGCAACAGGTGCAGATGCTGCTGCTGTTGAACCAACTCAAGAATGCACCACAGAGCGGATCCGAAGTTTGGCCGATTCGTCCACACCTGGGCAAGACCATAACCTCTGTAATAAAACCACCTGCATAGCCGAAGGAGCGGCGGATGACCGACCGAGCACAGAAATACAATGTTCGAGTCCGTTGTAGGGAGCTCCGACAATCCAGTATCTCTACTGGATCCTGCACCTCTATCCAGGACACCGGTAGATAAGCACATTCAGGTTGTCCACTCGAAGCTGGAGCTCGGCTGAACGATTTGTTGTTTCTTGGTTTCGCCGGCGCGATTCACTGCATTGTTACCATTTCAATCGACACAAGCGTTCGCGCGCGCGCCGGATCCGATGGTGCCGCCAAAGCCCGACGTGACACTAGAAAGCGCTGCCAGATACACGGTCGCATGGATCGCTGCGCTCGCTCACGAACGGGCTGCTGCCTTGATGATGCTCGATGAGAGGCACAACGAGCCCACAGACTTTACGCAAAATGCCAGCGATGCGAACAGCTATTCATGGGGGAAAGTAGGCCGCCACAATGTTGTTATAGCCTCACTCCCAACTGGAGAATATGGTCTGGCTTCAGCGGCGTCCACCGCCAACCATCTTTGCTCTTCGCTCCCCCATATCCGAGTCGGGCTTCTTGTTGGCATTGGCGCCGGCATTCCTACACTGGATCCGACGGATGCAAGCGTATATCTGGGCGACGTTGTCGTAAGCAATCCGGATGACACGCATGGAGGAGTTGTCCAGTATGATCTGTATAAAGCGAGCAGTAGCGACGGCAGTAGCTTTAGGGAAAGGAAGGGATTCCTGGACAGTCCTCCACGCGTACTTCGAACTGCACTCAATGCTCTGCAAGCAGAACATGAAATCTCGTCGTCGGGGCTTGAGGACTACCTGGTTGCTTTCTCGACAAATGAGAAAACGCGAGAACGATTTGGCTACCCTGGTAGTGAAAAGGATCGTCTGCGCAGAGAACACAAACAGACAAGAAGTTTGCCATCCATCCATTATGGGACCATTGTTTCTGGAAATGTTCTGATTAAGAGCACGCTGGAGCGGGATGCCATTGTGAGCTGGCTGCTTTCGACCAAGGTTGACCCGATGTGCTTTGAGATGGAAGCCGCGGGTCTTATGAACAGCTTCCCTTGTTTAATTATCCGTGGAATATGTGACTACGCTGATGAACATAAGGATGATACATGGCAGCGGTATTCGGCGGCAACCGCAGCAGCGTTTGCAAAGGAACTCCTTTCGTATGTCCGTGTTAAGGAGGTGGAAAGAACAGCCTCGATTCTTGAAGTTCTGGGGCAAAGTCGGTGACCTGTCCTTTGGTATCCCATTGGCTGAGCTAACACCCTACAGTCAAGCAAGATGTCTCAAGCGTTCGTTCAGATATGCGCATGCACGACTCAAGTCTTCGATTCGGACTGAGTTTCAAAGTCGCTTCGGGGGCGAAATATGACGGAGACATTGATCAAGAGAACGGCCTTGGCTATTGTCTCGAAGGTACTCGAATGGAAATCATTGACTTGGTTGATACCTGGATGAACGACCCCGTAAGCAAACGAATATTTTGGCTCTGTGGGATGGCAGGTACAGGCAAATCTACGCTATCTCGGACCATTGCACAAAGATGCAAGACGCAGTCTCGGTTAGGAGCCAGCTTTTTTTTCAAACGGGGCGAGGGAGATCGAAATAACGCAAGATTATTCTTCCCGACAATCGCGAAACAGCTTTCCGATCAGATACCAGAGATGCGGGAACATATACTCCATGCCTTGGGCGAGAACTCCGGTCTTTGCGATGGCAACCTCCAAGAGCAGTGTGAGAAGTTGGTTGACAGTCCATTGCGCAGTATTGATCCATCAAATCTCCCAAATGATAGATACATAATCATCATAGATGCTCTCGACGAATGCGAGCATGATCCTAGCATCAGCATGCTACTGCGACTACTATCACAAGCAAGCAAGGGTCATAGACTACCTCCATTCCAGATCTTTGTGACCAGCCGACCGGAATTACCTATCCGACTCGGGTTCAAACGGCTCGACGAAAGCACCCATGAAGACGTAATCCTCGAACAAGCGCAACGACCTACGATCGCCGGCGATATCCAGTTGTTCTTTGAGCAACGGGTAAAGGAGATCAGGGAAAACTATAGTGACCAAGATCCCTACGAGCAGCTGCCTTCGGATTGGCCGGGTGCGAGCAGATTGAAGCGACTTGTAGACTCCGCAACACCGCTGTTCATCTTCGCGTTTACTGTTTGTCGCTTCATTGCGGACGGAGACCCTGAGGAAGGCTTACAAAGCGTGATTCGCGAACGCGATAGAAATTCCTTGCTAGATTTCGGACCAACATACCTCCCAACATTGAGGAGATTGCTCCGCCGGAAAAGTGCTAAAGAGAAGGAAAAGGTGCTGGCGCAGTTCCAAGAGCTGATCGGCGCGATAGTCCTGCTTTCGGAGCCGCTTTCTGCAGAGTCCTTAAGTATTCTCTTGCAGCTAAATCTCCGCCAAATGCATGAGTTGCTTAAAAATATGCATCCTGTGCTGAGCATTCCGAAAAGAAAGGACAGGCCGATCCGTTTGTTTCACTTATCCTTTGCGGAATTTTTGACTGGGGACCGGACCGATAATCCATTTTGGGTAGATAAGATCGAAGTCCATCGCAGGATCACCCGGATGTGTCTTGATCGACTAGGGCGGGACGGAGGCCTCTTCAAAGATATGATCGAAGTTGAAGAGCCTCAGACCCGACGGACGTCTATCGATCAGTCGCGAATCAAGGGAAGTATCAGCGCAGATGTCGCATACGCGTGCAGTTACTGGGCTCTCCATGCAGTTTCGGGGGAGCAGCAGATGAGTGATGACGACGAGATACATAAATTCCTCGAAACACATCTCTTGCACTGGCTGGAGGCGCTAAGCTGGCTGGGAAGGCTTTCGACCGCGGTGTCACAAATCAACGACCTGCGCAAGAGAGCAGAGGTACGTCATGCGATTCCCTTGGTGCATCGACCAGTGTGAATTGACGAGGCACAGAGCGACTGTTGCGATAAGCTTGCCGCATTCCTTCGCGACGCCCGGCAGTTTCTGATACACAGCCGGTATATCATTGATCTCGCTCCTCTACAGGTCTACCATTCGGCAATAGTATTCACGCCTATCCAGAGCATTGTACGGAAAACTTTTCACAGGGAGACGTATGCAACGTGGGCGGTTCTGCCGGAAGTGCGCTCTCAGTGGAGTGCGAATTTCTATAAGCTCGAAGGCCACATTGATCAAATTGTTGCTATCGCCTTCTCGCCGGACGGTCAATTTCTGGTATCTGGAAGCGATGATAGGTCCATACGGCAATGGGACTCGCAAACGGGCGAATTTGTACAGAAGATGGAAGGCCATAAAGATAGCGTTGATGCAGTGGCCTTCTCATCAGATGGACACATGATTGCATCTGCAAGCCGCGATCGATCCGTACGGCTCTGGAGCACTTACACAGGCGAACTAGTCCTGGAACTCAAAGGCCACGATAGCGCCATCAACGCAGTGGCATTCTCACCCGATGGGAGATCCATTGCTTCAGCATCAGGCTGTATGGTACTGCTTTGGAAAACGCACTCATCCACGGGCGCTCAAACTCCGCAAACCCGAGAACATGAGAGTAAAGTTATCGCAATAGCTTTCTCACCCGACGGAAGAACTTTGGCATCAGTAACCCAAGGCAACATACTGTCTTTACACCGGACGCACGAGCAGACTACTAAGTCGGTACAACGGGCCCTCGGAAAGCCTGAGGGCCAAATAACGGCCAAAGCCACATTCACACCGGACATGAAATTGGTAGCGCTCTGTTACTGTCGTGTGCAGATATTCGACGTGCAAACAGGTGATCATATATTAGATCTTGGTGGAAATGGTGCATTCATTGACGCGGTTGCTTTTTCGCTTCACCCACGTTACATGATTGCTACGACCTCGAACTCGTTAGTACAGCTATGGGACGGACGAAGCGGCGAGCTTTTGCGAAGGTTTCAAGAGCAAGATCTAATTTGTTCAATTGCCTTCTCGCCAGACGGAAGCGTCCTCGCGACAGGTTCATGGGGACAGACAGTACGATTATGGGATTGTCACTTGGACGAAGCTGAGCATAACCTTGCTGGACACGACGAATCAATCGAGGCAGTAACTGTGTCTCGAGATGAACGATTCGTTGCAACGGCATCCTGTGACCAGACAGTGAAAATCTGGGATATGGCAACAAGAAGGCCAGTGCATGAACTGAGGGGGCATACCGATGGTGTCAGCGCCGTGGCCTTTTCTTCGGACAGTACTGTCCTCGCTTCTGCGTCTGAGGATTGGACAGTGCGAATATGGGACACCGATACAGGCAGTCTTGCGCATGAGCTCAAAGGGCATGAAGATTGTGTTAACGACGTAGCCTTTGCTTCACATGGAGGGATACTTGCTTCAGCGTCCGATGATCGGACGGTGCGAATATGGAATCGGGACGAGGGACGTCTGGTGTACGAATTGAAGGGACATAGGGCAGGCGTCGACGCTGTGACCTTTGCTTTAGACGGAGCGAGTGTTGCTTCGGCGGCTGAAGACTGGACAGTACGGATCTGGAGTTTGCAAACGGGCGATCTACTTCAAGTGATCCCCTATAGTGAGTTGTCAGCGCATCACAGGCTCGGCACTGAGGGAAGCCTTCTGCAAGCAGAGATGGGGACGTTCGTCTTGAACGATCTTCGACTGCGGGACATTGAAAGGACTTTCATGGTGAAAGATTCCCTCGCCTTGAGCGACCAATGGATACTCCACCGAGGACAAGAACTTCTGTGGCTGCCACATGACTACCGAGGACACCGTAGGAAGAGTCTGAGGGTTTCAGCATCGCAAGGAAAGACTCTAATCATTGGGCAGGCTTCGGGTGCTGTATCGTTCTTCCGCCTGAGATAGTTGAGCCGCGTATGTAGATCACCGTCGTTGATTATTTTTTGCAGTGCAAACTCTTACTTAGAACGTCTTTGGTCGTGGAGCTATTCTACCTATCTAGGGAGGTAAACACGGCAGCGTCGGTTTCTGGATACGGAAGGCTCGTGAGGGAGATTTCACGGATAATGTGCAGAAAGCTCGCACTGGCATCCTTCGAAGTCGGTTGAAATCTGCAATGTCAGACGCGACGGGGACAGAATACAAAGGACGCATGCACGTGTCGAATACACAAGCCAAGAGGAGCTCGATCGCCTGCTTACCTCGATTCAGAACAACATCGCTGTCAATATGGAAGAGCAAGCTTGCAGTGAAGCGAAAGTCGCGTTAGATGCGTATTATAAGGTGAGAAGACAAATCATATGTCATATATGTCAGTAAGCATTGAATTCTTTGCCGCACTGCGAATGCGACAAGCCGAGGAAGCTCGTGTCAGGGCTCTTTCGGTCATCGAATAAAGATGCGCGGAATTAAAGAACAAAAAGAAAAAAGAAAACACATAATATCTGCCAATGGCGGCAGCACAATATCGATAGAATAACTTGACGATAGAACGCACTACGACAAGAAATAAACAAGACGAAGTGAAAGGTGCCAATCCGGCTTCACTGTAATTTAACGATATAAAATCAAGAACCCGCAGAGCCGACAATCTCGAAACAACCACGATGTCCGCCATACCAGACGAAATCACCCTCTACCCAATCACCTCCTCCTCCTCATCCTCATCCGCCTCCGACCCATCGCAAGGAACCTCCAAACCACTCCTCGTCTACTTCATCACCGGCAATCCCGGCCTCATCGCCTACTATACCGAATTCATCCGGACCGTCCAACACAACCTCTCCCTCAAACCGATCCCGAGCTCCTCCTCGTCCTCCTCAGCAACCTCATCCGAGCAGACGAAAGCATTCCAAGACTCGGACATAATCTTCCACGGCACCAGCCTCGACGGCTTCGAGCTCTCCCGTCCGACTGACCCGACCGTGGACCTCCCCTTGAGCCTCCCGCAGCAAATCACCCAGGTGAGGAGGAACATCGGTCGGAAAGTCGCCGAGTTCACTCGAGAATTCTCTTCTCGTTCCTCTTCTTCGTCGTCTGATGGGGAGAGTCAGGGGCCGATGCCGGTCGTCCTGATGGGACATTCGGTCGGGGCGTACATCCTCATGGAAGTGATCGCGCAATGGCAGGCGGAACAGGGCCAGCGACACGAAGGCGAGAAGGGGAAGAAGAAGGATGAGGGCGACTGGCGGCCGGTGGCGGGGATCAACCTCTTCCCGACCGTCACGGAGATCGCCAAGAGCGAGAAAGGCAGGCAATTGAGCGTAAGCCATCCTTCCCACGCATGATTTCCGAACCGACGGGGGCCCCCAAATTCCTGATCTGGAAGATGTCTTAGTGGTTCCTCAACCTCCCCCATCTCCCCGTCGTCGCGCATTACATCACACGGGTCTTCCAGGTGATCCCCCGCCTGCCCTTCCTCGACTGGGCGGCGGCGTTGAACCCGGGTCCTCTGTGTCGAGAGGTCACGGCGGGGATGGTGACGAGTCGGAATGGAATCCGACAATTACTGTGAGTTTGTTTGATTTTCCTTCCTTTTCCCCTTTTCCTTCGTCAGTCACATTTCCTTGTGTCTTTCATCTCCCGCGTTATCCTTCTCTCGCTCTCTCTCTATCTTACACACACACACATACAAACACACGACCATATCATCGCCAATCTCACAACAAACGAACAAACAAACAGATACATGGCCAACGACGAAATGCACCTGATCAAAGAAGACCGCTGGCTGTCGACGCTCTGGGGCGACGACGGCGAAACCAGCAGCAGCAGCAGCAGCCCATCCCAGACCCCCGACCACCGTCTGAGACTGAAACTCTATTTCTACTTCGGCGCCCGCGACTACTGGGTGGACTCGGCGCTGCGGGACGAACTGATCTCCAGGCGGAACTCCCGGGGTTTCTCGACGAGCATGGAGATCTGCCCGCACCCGGAGATCCCGCATACCTTCTCCCTGGACGCGGCACATCTGCGGGTCGTGGCCGACGAGGTCGTGGGGTATCTCGCGGAGGTGAGGGCGAGGGTGTTGTGATCTCTTGGGGTTTCCGTGGTTGGGTGATAGGTGGGGAGATGGTCGGACGAGGGAAGAGAGAGGGGGGGAGAGAGGTCATAGGGAATACTAATAAGAAAAAAGGAAGAGAGAAGAAACCGGACGATGAAATCAACACAAATATACCTAGAGCTAGGGAGGTAGGCAGGTAGTTCTCCGAAAGAAAGGGAGGAAGAAAAAATACTTTCGTCGAAGGGAGGTGAAGAGAATCCAATTTCTTTTCATTTGACAACATTAATCATTCTCCGGTCGAGAAAAGCTACCAAGATAAAAGCTAAAACATAAGACAAAAACAGATGGGAATCACAGAAAATCGCTGTTCGCTCTCTCGTTGACATGGTCGTTATTTCTTCGTTTCCTTCAATGTTTGATTGGTATCACCGTCGTCATCGTCGTCACCGTCGTCATGGCGGCAGCGTGTCACTCCACCGCCATCCGCACGACCTCATCCCTCTAAGATGCGAGCGCGGCGTTGGTGGTGACCTCGCTGGTCGGGTACGGCGGCGAGACCTCGGTGGTGGTAGCGCCGGCCGCGGGGGCGGTGAAGGCTGGCTCGGTGGCGGCCGCGCCGGTTGTGCTGACGGGAGCAGCGGTGGTGCTGGCGGTGGTGGTGGTCGCGGGGGCGGCGACGGTGGAGGAGGAGGTGGTGGGAGGCTCGACGTGGGAAGCCATGGCGTTCGGGCCCAGCTTGCTCTCCGAGGAAGAGATGGGTTGGGCGGTCTTGGTCCAGTGGCGGAGGGAGGACTCGGCGTCGTTGAGGATCTCGCGGGCGGCGAGCTCGTTGGCGTAGGCCTGGCGGTCCTCGCCGGGGACGATGGGCGTATCGTCGAGCAGGCTGAGGAGCTCGCGGGCGTGCTGGGCGAGCAGGATCTGCTTCTCGGCGCGCTCGATGATGGCGGCGGTGCGGAGGTCGTAGGCCTCCTTGAACTTCTGGCGGGTGACGTTGGTGAGTTGAGCCTCGGCGACGAGGGACTGGGCTTCGGCGCGGACGAGCTCCTGCTCGAGGGTGACGAGTTTGGTGGATTCGGGCTCCTTTTGCTTGAGCTTGGCGATTTCGTCGAGGATCTGCGGGAGCGGGATGTGTCAGTCTGCAGCTCCTCTCACGTTGTGCATATCGGAAGGATATTCCTCACCTTAGCCTTGTGGTTGCGAGTGGGCTGCACGCTGGACTCGGTGTTGCGGATCTGCTTCAGGGTGCCACGGCTCTCCTCGAGATTCTGGGCGAAGACGTCCTCCTGCTCGGCGATCTCGGAGAGCAGCACGGCGAGCTTGTCGGAGATGTCGCTCAAGCTCTCGTCCTCGGTGGCTTCGCCCCAGTCGCTCAGCTGGCTGGCGACACCCTGCGACTCTTTCCCGGCCTGCTCGTAGGCGCCGATGACGTGGTTCTCCGACTTGATGAGCTTGTAAAGCTTCTTGGACAGCTCCGGTTGTTGGATGCCACGGAGAGAGGAGAGGGCGAATCGGTGCTTGGGAACGGACTTGTGGTCATCGTTCTTGCTGCGGGTAGATTGGGATCGGCCGATCCTGAGGAGGACGAGGTTGTTAGTGTGTTTGTTGACGTCGCAGTAGTGGCAGGTGGGATTGTGGGTGGTGATACTCACAACGAAGACATGTTTGCGGATGTGGAGGGGTAATGTGGTTGTTTTTTTGGTCGTTGGTTGGTATCAGGAGGTTGTTGACAGGCGGAAGTAGGAATAATGTTCCGGAAAGAAGTGGTTTTATGGGAGAAGGGGAGTGATGATGTAGATATAGGAGGATATCAGATGCACAGTTCACTCACTGATGATGATGATGATGATGATGATGATGAACGGGCGTTAACCAAGTTTTCCTCCGCCGACGTAGAGAGACTACATACAGTGCTAGACCAATACAGTACTTCTAGCTGCAAATAGCTTCGTGGCGATGAACTTTATTAGGAGCAAACAAACATGCTCAGGTGCGGGAATGATGTCGTTTTCTGTTCCCGCCACACTGTGAATTCCAGACAAACATGACGTCGTTGGGAGAGGGGATCGGATTGCGTATGTCCTTTTCCTCTTATAACATACCTATACATATACATAAATATTATACTGCAGTATGATACATATACATGTGCTTATACTGACATATACATACATAAATACTGTGGTGACATGTATATACCTACCAAGGTATGCTGGCACTGTCATGTATACATACACGATATCTCTCTTTCTAGTACAGTAAGAGTGTCCGGTATTTCTTTACACTACCACTACCGGCGCCTGCTGCAGGATCTCAAGTATATAATGACAACACCCACGATGATGGCCTATATAGTGGACCAGATGGGCCTCATTTCCGAGAGGGATTTCTAATGTTATTCTTACTACAGTGGTATTATTATTACTATGGTTATTCTACGACTGTAACTCATGATGATGTGATCGACCTCACCACAGAAGCAGCGAGGAGAACGCCTACGTCATCGGCAACAGATTCGGCCCACCTGCCTGCCTGGGAATCGAAGGGGATTGGGAAGTGGTTCTTGGGCTTCACGCTTGCATATACATGGCCGATGTACACTGTACATACACATATGGATCTGGACGCGCCGTTGGATGAACCCAGCGCACATGGAGATCCGGTCTGGAACAACATGCAGGGAAAAAAGGAGAAGACGAAAAAACAAGAGAGATGTTCCTGGCGCGCGGTTGGCAATTGTTTATTATTATTATTATCATTATTCGCTGACACACACACACACCTGTAAAGGAATGATAAGACTCCTACATTGGACAGGATCGGTCGGTGTGTCTGTGAGAGAGGATGACCAATATATGAACAATTAATAAAAACAAATTCAAACGCAATAGAAACAAGTAGCATCACCCAGAAAAGCCTCTCCCGAGAACGCCAAAAGACACTGACGAAGAACAAACTACAGATCACAAGTCATAAAATCTGAAAGAAAAATCTGAAAAATCCTCCTCCTCCTCCTCCTCCTCCTCCTCCTCATTCCCCCTCACGTTCAAAACTGTCCTCCAGGGACCTCGCTCATGACGCTCTGCCGGCTCTGCAACCTGCGGATCGAACTCGGCAGCGAATCGATCTCCATGGCCCCACTGACGACCCTCACGGTCTTCTTCTTCCTGCCCTCGTCGTTCTGGACGAGGACCTGCGCGGGACAGACGACGATCTCATCGTCCCCCTCGCCGTCGTCATCGCCCCTCTTCATGACGAGCGGGAAGAGCGCGATTTTGACCACGGCCTTCTCCGCCGCGAGGGTCTCGTTCGAGGGGAAGAGGCCCGAGCGTTCGTTCATGTTGGTGGCGTGGAAGTAGACTTTCCGGACGAGGTCGCCGTTGGTGTCGTATTCGGGGACCAGGGGGGGCAGCATGGTGTACTCGGCCTTTTGGGTGCGCATTTCGATCGAGAGATCCACGGCGATGCTGATGACTTTCTGGAACGACGCCCGGAGTTGTTGTTCCGTGGAGCCCGGCGGCGGAGGGAGCAGGGCGCTGAGCAGGCTGAAGATTTCGTGGGCCACGGCTTCGGTGTCGAGCTCGCGTTGGCTGGCGAAGGCGGGTCGTTTGGAGAGCAATGTCAAGGTCGTGGCGCGCCAGTGGGCTACGGCCCGACGCGGTCCGACTTCGTTCAGCAATTTCTCGAGCGCTTTGAGTTTTTGGCGTTGTTCGCGGTCCATGCCGCAGAGGTAGCGCGTGAAGATGTGTTCCCACACCATGGTCATAATCACCGAGACAAACACGTCTCTTCGGCGCACTCGGTCTCCGAGGAGTTTATCGACATCTGACCCATCCAGCATGACATTGTCAAGTCGAGCTTCGATCTTTTCATCGTTGAGATCAGTGGATAACCGACAGATTCGGTTGTCGGAAACCTTGGAGAAGCGCAACACCCATTGTTGGACATGCTGACAGAGTTTGTGGCAGGCATTGTCAAAGTAATCCTCGTCCCGTATAGTGAGGAAGTCTTGTTGTGTTTGGGATTGAATCTGAACCTGCAATGCTCGGATTTGTTCACTCGCAACTTGCAGCTTTTGTCGAAGTCGTTCGATTTCGATATCCCTCTCGGCTACGGCTCGTGAGATCTCCTCTTCGGCAGATCTTGAACTCTGTCCGCGTAAGGATTCGAGCTCTCGCGTCGCGACGAGCCAATTTTGATGCGTGTTGGCATGCTCGGATTGTAATGACGCGTATCGGTTGTTAGACTCATCCACGAGGTTGCGATTGGCCTCCGTCAATCCAGTGCTGATCTCAGTCAGCCGTTGGATTTCCTCCTGTAGCGGCTGAAGTAATGCTCGGATCTGGTGGATCTCGGCATCCTTTTCGCGTAATTGGAATTCGCGTCGGGAAAGTTCATCCTGAAGCGCATTGCTGTGGGAGTCGTAATGGAACCCTTTGGCTTCTTGTAATGCGCGGTTCTCCGCGACCAATGAATCTAGTCGAGATTCCAATTCGTTAATGTGCATCGACTGGCGTTTCCTTACGCTTGGTGGTCGCGTCGGTGACACGGAAGATCCTTGTGCGCCACCATAGCCCTGCTGTAAAAACAGGTCATGTCAGCAAACATCGTCGCGCGAAATATTATCATCATTCAATAAACTCACGTAAATATCATCCATTCCAAACCCGCGTAAAACACTCCCGCCGCTCACCACACTGGCAGCTTCATCCTCGTTCAACGGCGGCGTCGGAGGTGCCTCGAAAGGAATTGTTATGGGTGAAGCGCGCGTAGCTCCCGCTCCGGTGACCGATACCGTTGAAGATCCCCGCTGGCTGGCGGCCCGCAGGTCACCTGACAAATTTATCCGTCGCAATGTCGGAGTGGAACTTCTTTGACTGGCCCGGCTAAACGAGCGGAGATCTTCGGATTGTCTCGCGTTCGAGTGACTGCTCAACACGCTTGATGGTCGTTGTGGTCGATTGAGTCGACTGTGGTCTCCAGATACCGATCGATTGAGGTGAACAGTGTCATGTTCTTCGTCTACTGCAGGCCAAGGCAGTCGATTGATGAGAGTATCCGTGGACAATGGATTGCTCACAGCTCGTAGATTGTGAATACTTCTCGGGCGTAGTCGTGAACTTTGACTGTCCGAAACTGCACGCTCTTGTTCGTGAATTGCTTGTGGTGTTTTGGAACGCTTCGTGACCTTGATCTGTTCGGGCCCTCCCACATCACTCACAGGTTTGTTCCTCTTGTGAGCGTGGTGTTCTTCTGCGATCGACCCGAGTGGGGTTCTTGGGCTTGGAGTCCTTGGCGCCCGCGGAGCATCAACACGCATGCTTTGAGAGGCGCGTGGAACATCAGTCTGGATTGCCTTGACTGAACTGGACTGATGTGCGCGGTGATCGTCTCTCGTTTCATCGACTCTTCCACGTGTTGTTGGGGAACGCTCTTCGATTCTTCGTGCACTTCCATCGGACTGGCGATCCCCAGGCAGCGTGACACTGGGCGTCCGCAATTCTGAAGAGTCCATCTCTCGACGATTTTCGCGTGATCGTGCTTTGGATTGACTTGGCGGCGAGATGGTTCGATCACGAGATGTGCCACCAATAAAGGCAGCACCGGCAACAGCTGCAGCGGCCATGGTGGCGACACTGGCGACTTGTTCGAAATCACTGCCATGTTTTGACCGTCGCTCAGGTCTGCTCTCTTGAGTCAGGTTACGTGCAGCAGGAGAAATGATTTCCTCCTCAATGCCTTTCGAACGTGGCTCAGGCGTGCGGGGTACAGCGACTGGTAAAGATTGAGAAATCTCCGAAGTGTGAATAATGCCAGCTAGAGGCGAGCGCGATGTTGTCCTCGGGTCATTTCCCTCCTCGGCTGGCGGTGGTGTGGTCTTATCCGTCCTACGTTTGACTCGCTGCAGGCCAGGGAACAGTCCTTGCACACGATCATTTGGCACTTCTGTGGACTTCTCCAGTACTGGCTGCTCTTCATCGATCGTGACTGGTGCGGCTGTCGTTATAGCTGGTTCATCAACGATCGGATCTAGTTGACTCTTCGAGATGTCGTCGTTGTCGGTTTCCTGCGCCAATCGTGCGGCAGCCTTTTGCTTCTTAGCCTTTCGCTTTTCTTTCTTGTACGTCCGATATCCATCTTCAGCTTCATCCATATCTTTTCCGTCCTCGGCAGCCTCAAATGTTGTTTCTCTCACAGCTGGCTCCTCTTCGGCTTCTCGGATAATCTTCTCCTCCGCAATGGCCTCTTGCAAGACGGGTAGGGCTCTTTCGGGCTCAGACACGATTACTGGCTCTGGGACATCTTCATCGATTGACTTTTTGCCCTTCTTGCCCTTTTTACGTTTCGATGTTGTAAAGGAGATTTCTGGCTCATCGTCCATGGCAGAAGGCGCATCATTGGAGGCTGCAAGAGCCTTCTCAAGCAGCGACGGATCAAACCCGGTGCTCTGCAGAGACTCGGCGACTGCACTATCAAATTCGCTCGCCTGAGGATCTTTGGCGACGGCTTCTGTTACGTCTGCAGGGGTCATCTCCGCGGACACGTCTTTGCTTTTCTTGTTCTTTTTGCCCTTTCTACGTTGCGTGATAGCGGTTGGGAAGAGGTCTCCCGCATCCATCTCGGCGGTTGAAGCAACAGGAGAAGTACGTCGATGGAATTCGGCGTCACCAATGACAAGATCAGGATCGAAGCCGCTGTTCGCTAGTCCAGCAGCCACAGTAGCAGAGAAGTCAATGTCTTGGAGAGGATCCTCTGCACGTGCGGGAGTGTCGATGGCTGTGTTCGAATCATCCCCCATTGGCGCTGGTTCTCGTGGTAGCTCCGAGGGCGATGCGATCGTCTCATCTGCAGTGATGTCTTTCTTTGATGGAAGATGATTAGAGTGATTGTCGGCTTCAGCAACCGGGGCTGTGAGAGTCAAGACGCGCTCGAGGGACTCGGTTACGATTGCACCCTCCCAATCATCGTCACGGTCGTCGTTACGACTTTCGTGCTTGTCTTCCGGAACAGGATCGAACTCATCGGTATCCTTGGCCCCATCCAGACGGGTGTCAACAGGAGCAGTATACTCGTCAATGAGCTCCATTTCGGCATTGTTACGCTCGCTCGATGCTTCGACTGGTATGGTGATGTCTGCCTTGCTCTTGATGTTTTTGTTGTCGTCGCCTTGTTGGATCGCCTCGTTGACGGGAATGCTCTTGCTATTGTCCTCTACGACAGCATCGTCTTGCAGATTCGTAGATCTATCAGCTTCTTCCGGCAGCGTTGCTGTGGATATACTGCCTTTCTTGCCCTTCTTCTTGGCTTTGCGGGATGATTTGGATGAGAAGTCGGCCAAGTCATCTTGGACTTGCTGTGGCGCAGCATCTGACTGACTGGCAACGATGGCAGCTGTCACAGTGGCAGCCGCAGCGGCTGCCGCAGCCAAAGGCAGCACGGAGGTCTTATCTTCAGATTCTTTGGTATCGACAGAAATTGTATTGTCAAGATCCCTAGAAACGGGCTCCTCTTCGAAGGCACTCGGCGTCGGTACGACATTCTGCTTGCCTTTTTTCTTTCCCTTCTTCTTGGATTTGGTTGAGTATGAGAGATCCTCTGTTTCTTCTGCAGCGGGCGTGACGACTTCCGGTACTTCTGCTGAAATCTCTGTCTCTGGGATGCTTTCGGACTTTTGCTTCTCAGGCTGAACACCGTCCATGATGGCATTGTTGCGTGCTGTCTCGCCCTCGACAGGGTCGTGCGGTTCTAGAAGCGGTGTCGTGTTAAGGGGCATGAATGCACCTGCCGATTCGTGGTCGGGTGCAATGATTTTGTCTTCTTGGGCTTGGACATTCACTTCTCGGGAGGTAGATTCCATCAATGGTGGCGTTGAAACGAGGGGCTCATCTGCTGCAGAATCACGAGACACGTCGGCAGCCTCAGTAGCTTCTACAGGCGCATTCGGCTGAACCTGTTGTTCAAGGTCGGCAGTGTGTGCATCAGTCATTTCGGTGTCCACAACAGGGTCCGCTTCTGTCTTGGTCGATGCTGGTACTGGCAGGATCTCTTCCGTTTGATTTTGAGATGCCGTCTGCTCAACAAGCAGGTCCGTTTCGGCGTTCACTGGCTCTGCTGCTACAGTCTCATCGGGGGTAATCTTTGACTTTTTGCCTTTCTTGCCCTTTTTCGCTTTGGACGTAGTCTCGGGGATACTAGCAGAATCTTCAGTAAGTTCGCGGTTTTCCTCCAGAGCAGTTACTGTGGTCATTTCCTCGTCGATTGGAGGTATGTGCTTTGCAACCTCTTCGCTTGGTGCAGTGGTAATTTCGTCCAACACTGCGATCTGGCTCGCTCGCTTGCCCTTTTTGCCTTTCTTCGTCTTTGTCGTAGGCGCCCAGATGTCGTCCGCATCTTCGACCGACTCTTGAACTTCGGCTTGTTGAACGATCGGTTCCACTCCAAGTTCTTTACTGTTGTCCAAGACCTCGGACTCTGCAATCTCAGGCTTCTGCAACTCAGCGTCCTGAATTGCTCTTGTCCCCTTCTTGCCCTTTTTGGTCTTGACGGAGGATGGCCATGCGTCGCTTGTATCCTCGATGGGCGCCTCGGGTTCTGCAGATGCTACGTTTATCTTGTCATCTTCATTACGCTCTGCTGGAACAATCGAAGTGACATCAGCTTCCTGAGATGATTCCGCCTCCTGTTCTACCTCCTCCACAACGCGTTTGGCCTTCTTGCCCTTTTTAGACTTGGCTGAGGGCGCCCAGATATCGCTGACATCTTCAACAGGCTCCGAAACGACCTCGGTAGGTTCACTCGAAATGATTTCTTGGTCGTCCTTTTCCAAAGCCATTGGTGGCTGATCGTTCGTTGGGGTTCCACTAGTCGGCTCCTCGAAAGCCGAAACGCCCTTCTTTCCCTTTTTGCCTTTTTTCGATTTTATCGGAGGTGCCCAGATGTCGCCCGCGTCTTCGGCAGGTTCGGCAGTCTCGACGGGGACGGAGAGTGCTTCGGCCTCCTTGTTCTCATCAGTCGGTGCGATTGCAGATGACTCGTCCGTCACCATGTCAGTGACAGTCTGGTCTTCGACTTGCAGGGCTTTCTTTCCCTTTTTGCCTTTCTTGCCTTTTACTGGTGGGGCCCAAATATCGGTGGCATCTTCGGTCGCCTCCTCGAGGGTCGTTGGCGCAGCGGTCTCATCTACATCCCCACGAGTGATTGTGTCCTCGTCCACGGTCGGCGCGGAAATTTCTTTAGACTCAACCGGTAAGGCGTTCTCCGAGACTTCGATTGTCTCAGCGTCTACAGAAGCAACGGTTGGGTCTTCGGTCTCAGCAGACAGCGTGAGGTCCGGGTTCTCAGTGGACTTCGTGCCAACTTCAGCATCCGCGGACAAAGATGGTGGGACATCGTCTTTGTTTTCTTTTGCAATCTCTGCGTCTAGCTGATCATCAAGCACGATGTTTTCGGCAATCGATCTTCCCCGTTTTCCCTTCTTGCCTTTCTTTCCTTTAACAGGTGCAGTCCAGATATTAGTTGCATCGGCTTCGGCCGGCTGTTCGCTCGTAGGAATTGAAATATCGGTGAGTTCCGCAGCTTTGGTCGCATCTGCAGTGTTAACTAGAGAGTCCGGTTCCGTTGCCTCCTCACTCTGGGCTTTCGGCTCCTCCTTTTCGCCTTCCTCAATCTTGTCAAAGCTCGCCGAAACATCGTCTGTGCTGACATTGACCGGCTCTTGGTCCTCGACAGGTGTAGGGGCAGATTTGATAGTATCAACAATCTCCTCAGGAAGGGTCGGCATCGGGCTTGCATTGTCAGCGACAGGTTCTACAGCCGCATCATTCTTGCCTTTCTTGCTCTTTTTGGTCTTGGTTGGGGCTGTCCAGGTCTCGTCGGTAGGAACATCGGTGGGTTCCTGGCTATCAGTCGAGGCTTGCGTGTTCAACGGGACCGGACCGGGCTCAGCTTTCTCGATGTCGACAGTGCTGCTGCGTGGTACCTGGGCTACCTGTGGCTGATTGTCGAAAAGCGCGGCCAACTTCGAGATACGGCTGCCTTTCTTTCCTTTCTTAGCCTGCGATTGTGCAGTCGGGACGATCTCCGCTTCGACGGTAGTTGGCTCCTGAACCACAGGTGCAACGGCTTCGAGACCAACTGGAGTAATCTGGTCGCTAGAAACTTCCTGATCCTGGCTGTTGTCAATGACTTCGGCGACTTCCGGCTCATTCGCCGTATTCAGAGGCTCCGCGGTTTGAATATCAGCAGGAACGTTTTGTGTGTCGACGACTGGAACAATGTTTTCAGCGACACCATCGGCTGGGGAGCCTTGTGGCACTAGAAGACGTTGGGCGACGATGGGACTACCCATGACTTTAGGCGTCTCTTCTTTCGGAACCACGTCTGCAATGGAGACACGCTTGCCCTTTTTGCCCTTCTTTCCCTTGGTTGGAACTGCCCAGATGTCTTCTGGGTCGGCAGCGACCTGATCTTGACTCTCAGAGTTGAACCCAGCTTGGTCAGTATTTTCTGGAACCTCAGAGGTGGATGCCAGGACATCAGTGGTCGTCGGAGCCGCCTGGGAATCGTCGGTTGCAGAAGTAACAGTAACATCGTCGCCAGCGCTTTGAGGTTCATCAGCGGCAGTAGCTACAAGATCGACCTCGACTGAATCGGTCTTGGGCTGAACGACAGTGGTCTTGGCGGTGTCCGTCGTATCCATCTCCACTGAAGTACTAGTGGACGCATCGGCGACGGGATCTTGTCCAGCAGGCTCAACA